GTGTATGTGACTGTAACTTGTACACAGAAATATAAAAAAACAAATAACAAAAAACCAGGGCTGGACCAGGTCGAAGCCAGGAACCAGGGACTGAATCCAGATCTCCTACATGAGCGACAGGAGCCATGGCCACCGCCTCCCCGGGTCTGCCCTGGCAGGAATGGAGCGGGAGCGGTGAGCCACACCCTGTGACTCTCGCTGGCGCCGGGCATCGGAACTGCTCGGCTCACCGTGTGCTTCCTGTTTGTGTTGTTAACAAACCAGCACAGCCATGAGTTAACCTTTCTCTTCCCTTTTTTCCATTAACACCTGGCAGAACCCAAAGATCCTTATTTTTAGCATAATGTTTTTTGTGTCATCCACTCCTTTTGGCAATCCGAAAAAGTCAACAGTCCCTTTAAAATGCACGCAATAAGATCATAGGATTACATCCAAACAAAATTCTCTATGTACTAAACAAACAAAAAACCCATAAGAACTAATCGAACGCTGCCTGTTCGCTTACGCTTTCCATAAAATCCATCAGCAGATCCGACAGCCACCTTTCTCTCAGAGCGGGGAGGGGCAGACAGATGCCCCGAGAATCTGTAACTACGGTCACGTCGCACCAAGTACCAAGTCACAGGACAGCAGCGACGGGTGGCATCGTAGCAGGATTCGGGGACCAAGACGAGACACCGAGGCCTCTTAACAGGAAGTCGACTTTCAGTATGCCGGCAGAGGGCCCAGGTGGAATTGCTTATCCAAAATCCTGAGCCCCGCACAAGGAAGGGGTCTCCCTCATACATGGTTGTAGCCTCTCTGTCTCCCTTACACGGTTACCTGCGTACATTTGACTGGATATTCTAGTTACATGGCGGCCACAGGCTGATGCAACACTGTGCATGCCAACGGAGTGACCCAAGATGTTTTTTTTTTTTTTTTTTTTTTTTGACAGGCAGAGTGGACAGTGAGAGAGAGAGACAGAGAGAAAGGTCTTCCTTTGCCGTTGGTTCACCCTCCAATGGCCGCCGCGGCCAGCGCGCTGCGGCCGGCGCACTGCGCTGATCCGATGGCAGGAGCCAGGAGCCAGGTGCTTTTCCTGGTCTCCCACGGGGTGCAGGGCCCAAGCACCTGGGCCATCCTCCACTGCACTCCCTGGCCACAGCAGAGAGCTGGCCTGGAAGAAGGGCAACCGGGACAGAATCCGGTGCCCCAACCGGGACTAGAACCCGGTGTGCCGGCGCCGCTAGGCGGAGGATTAGCCTAGTGAGCCATGGCGCCGGCCACCCAAGATGTTTTTTAAGCACATACCGAGCCTTAGCCGTCCAGCAAGGGTTAACATCCTTGCTCTGTACCGACAGGCAGGACCTGCAGTGGTTACACAGCCGCAGACAGGGACCACAGCTGAACCTCCATAGGCGAGCAGGCAGCCACTACACTGTATTCCCAGGACGACGCCTCCCCCTTTTTCTTTTGCTGACCTCGGGGAGGCCTCTACCACAGCTGTCCCCGTGTCAGTTAGAAACAAGTTTCGTTAAAAGACGGACGCCTCTCCCACAGCACTGTCCAGCGATAATGCCCGGAAGAGCTACATTTTAGCTGGAGGTGAGGTGAAGGACGCGCCCCCCCCCCCCCCCGGGGCCAGCTCAGCAACTCCCACGTACCCTGACCTCCACGGCTCACGCCCACCAGTCCCAACTCTTCCTTCTCTGATTCTGAAGATTTGGACACCCGTGGGCCTGCTCTGCTTTGGGGAGAAGGGCATTTGTCCAATCACAGAACACCTGCCAGTTAGCGACAGGCCCCTTGAATACACGTGTAGAAGATCAAAAAACAGCGGCTGCGAGAAGGTTTTACTCATGGACCGGCTTCATACCAGGGAACGCGCTGAGAAACATCCCCCCGCCCAGGAGGGAGCGCCCACCACGGCGTCCCCGTGCTCGGGCCAGTGGGAGGCCGAGGAGGCCCGAGCCCAAGCTTCAGGGGCTGGCAGGGGAGCTGAATCAGGAGACAGCCCAGCTGGCTCGTGGTTCCCATTTCTGCAAGTTTTGCCCAAATCAGTGGAGCTGCAGCAATGGCCACCCACAGCCTTCCCGGCACTGCCCCCAGGCCACCTCCCCTGCGTCAGCCAGAGCCGAGGGAAAGACCAGAGCTGGTGGACCGGGGAGGGAGGGGGCGCGGCTGGGGCCCACGGGGAACTTGGAGAGCCATCTTCTAGAAAGTGCTGCCGCCTGCTCCACGTAGCGGGGCCTGGCTGAGTCCTGGGGTCTCCCAGTATGTCTGACGCCCGAGGGCTCCTCAGGGCCCGGTTCTGGCGTCCCAGTGCCTCCCCCACAGGTCGGCCCCAGAGCGTGGCTACAGTTGGCGGTGGGGGGGGGGGTCCTGGCTGCCGGGGAAGAGACTTTGGGTCCATACGCGCACCCCACCCCTCCTGTGCAGAGGCCTCTGGGGAGGAGGGGGCCGCGACCCCTCCCTGCTGCTCCTGAGACAGCTTCAGAGATGGGTGCCCTGGATTGGCCCCCCGCGCCTGCAGCCCCTGCCCTTGGTATCTCTGCAGCCAGTGGCCTGGGTGCTGCCGACATGAAAAGGCAGGGCCACACCGGTGTTGCCACTTCCCCTCCGCTCCGTTCTTCCAATGAGATGCGGCCTCGGCCCAGCTGGCCTGGGGTCCTGCCCTCCATGAGGCCTGCGGCAAGGCCCTTGCTATAGACGCCTCCCCGCCCCCCCCCACCCCCGTCTTTGTCCCCTTGCCGTCCTATCCCCTGCCTCCCTTCTCGAGCCGCCGCCACTGACCTGCAGGACCGGGCTGAGCTGTCCGGGACTGGCCTCCTTTCCCTGCCACGGGGCTCTGCTGCATCAGAGACCTCCAAGCATCGCCGCGCCCCTGACGCTCCTGCAGGCTTGGGCGCGGCCACGCCTCTCACTTTGCAGCTCCCAAGACCTCAGTACATTCCTCGCATCGAGACGGGGTGCAACGTGCACACTGCAACCACGCGGGCTAACATGCGTGAGCTCAGGGATTGCGGACAGGGAGAAAGGGACTATAGATCAAAGCTCGCCACCTTGGATGCCGGGGCGAGTGACACGGAAAAGGCTTAACCTTCCACAAAGCCCTCAGAGAAACAATGTTCCTTCCCTAACAACTCAGTCTTTCAATATCACCGTTTTGATGGCTTCGGCTTCAACTGCCGTCTCAAAAAAAAAAAAAAAAAAAAAAAAAAATCCAGCATTAGTTCAGCCTGGGCAACACTTTTCACTGTTTCTTTGCTTTTCAGATGTGTGTAGGCGGTGAGAGATTTTTTTTTTTTCCCACGCATCTTCAAACCGAAAGGGCTGACCTTGCAGCGGTGCCCTTCTGAGTCACCCGGGGAGTCCCTGCTCCTCCACACCGGCCGGGTAGATGTGGCTGCCAGAGCTGGGCCCTTGTCCACCACGGAGCCTGCAGACGCCGAGCCAGGCTGCGAGGCCCTGGGAGGGAACGCCGGGCTTGGGATTGTCGGAGCAGAGGCTCTGGTGCACTCCCGCTCTGAAGTGAGTCATCAGGGATGGGCCCCCGGCCCGAGGCAGCACCCACACCTGTGTGCGTCTCAGCTCAGTCCAGCCCAGAGATAGGACCTACACCTGTGTTTGTCTCGGCTCATCTCAGCCCCCAGCCCAGAGGCAGCACCCACACCTGTGTGCGTCTCGGCTCAGTCCAGCCCAGAGGTAGGACCTACACCTGTGTGCATCTTGGCTCATCCCAGCCCCCAGCCCAGAGGCAGCACCCACACCTGTGTGCATCCTGGCTCATCCCAGCCCCTAGCTCATGTGGCCATCGAGCCTCGGAGGGACTGCTGTGACAACAAAAGAAACTGCTGGGTTGTTTGAGGCACTTGGTGAAACCACTTTTCCGTCCCCTTAACCAAGTTGGTAGCCAGAGGCTGGATCTGAGGACATCTTTAACTCACCAGGAGGGCAGGGGCTGGTAGGGCCAGGAACCCAGCTCGGAGTCTGCCTCCCCAGTCCAGGCCGGCCCTGTGCCCTTCTCTGCCACAGCAGTTTCAGGGTTGTTTGGCCAGTGGAATTGTCGGCAGCCTTTTGGCTGACTTGAGACGCTGGAAGCAACAGGCAATGCCTTCATCAATAACGCTGTGTGTCCTGAGTCCTTCGGTAGCTGGGGCATTGCTGGTGGGGACAGGAGAGTGGAGATGCAGAGCAAGGAGACCTGGCTCTGCTCCACTTCCTATCAGCTCCCTGCTAATGTGCCTGGGAAAGCGGCAGATGGCTGAATGCTGGGGTCTTTGCTACCCAAGTGGGAGACCTGGATGGAGTTCCAGGCTCCTGGCTTTGGCCTGGCCCAGTCCTGGCCATTGCAGCCATTTGGGGGAGTGAACCAGTGGAACGAAGAGCCCTCTGTCTGTCTCTCCCATTCTCTAACTCTACCTTTCAAATACGTAAAATACATCTTTAAAACAATAAAGAAGGAGCTGGAGAAAACCCTGGGCAGGGGCGGATTTGGAGGACCTGGGGGTGCTGGCAGGTGTGCCCCGAAGCCTCTGGCATGGAAGGAACCAGCCCCGGTCAGCCCAGATGTGGGGCTGTGAGTGTGTGTGTGTGGGGGGGGGCCCAAGCCTGAGTTCCACATGACCGGCCCAGGGGTGACTGGGGTAGTGAGCCCTGTGCCAGCAGCCATGGTGGCCTGTTCACGAACTGCAGCGTCGAGCCATGCATGGCCTTCCCCACCCCCAGTCTGGCAAATTAGAAGTCCGTGCTCTGCTCACCACGCCCCGTGAGAGCTGAGGGCGTGAGCTGACCTGGCAGAGGGCTGGCCTGGGAGGACGCCACCCTCAGATGGGACGGGAAGGAGCCGGACGCCGGCCGTGCACGGGGCAGCTGCTCAGAGCGTCTGCTGGCTCAAGTCCTTTCGAAACGCCACTGTCAGGGACGCCCTATTCCAGCACTACTCGGACCCAGGTCTGGGTAACCCCGTCACGCATCCTCCGATTCTTCCTGTCCAGAGGAGTCAAAGACAACGGCACTTTGAATGTCATAGTGTTTATTTAAATCCTGAGGTTCAAAAATATTTCTCAATAGTGTGGCAGACACTATGGGGTACAAGTTTCTCCCCCGGTGTGTGGCTGGGGTGCTGGTATTCCATGTGCTTCTGGGTAATTCTTTGGCAGGTGAGGAGGAGACGGGTTCCCGGCCCGCCCTCTCCTAAGGCCGCGCGAATGGAGCACTGATCAGCTAAAGTGCAATCGGACTGTGAAGCCTCGCAGCTGAGGCCGGTGTCCCCGGCGAGCAAGTGCCCCCGGGGACACACGTCACCTGGTTGTGAGGGAGCCCTTGGACCAGATGCCCCTGAAATTTAACCACAGACTCTGTGATTTTACAAAAGTGCTTCAAAGGGAAGAGAATCGTTTCCCTGGTTCCTTGGAAGAATTAGTGAGGTGCGAGGCACTCGCCCGAGGTCCCGCTGACAAGGGCTTTTCGTGAGTCCCCTAAGGCCGCACGGCTGGCTCAGTGGGGCCATGCACACGACCACATTCGGCTCTCAGCGCCCTGAGTGGCTTCCCTCTGCTTTCTCTCCCGGCATCTCTGAGCCAAGGATGGTCTCGTGGCTCTAAGAGTTCCCATGGTGGAGGGATAGAGGTGGGGCGCTCCTAAAATTGTCAGCAATGCACACGTAACAGCATCACCAAAGCCAGCCTGCGACTTCACCCCACAATCGGGTTTCTCATCGGGGCCAGAAATGGCTCCGCCTCCTCGGGTGACCGCTCCAAGTTCTCGGGAACAACATGGCCTGCATTTTTCAGTTCTTCCTGTGGCTTTTGTTTCTGCTTTCCGAAGTCCGTGGGTCTGCAGCTCCAGGTTCCTGCCCTCGCTCCAGCGGGCTTGCGCCACAAGGCAGGGAGCTCTGGGCAGCCGGAGGCAGCAGTGGGATGGGGCTGGTGTTGGCAGAGCTGCGCCGTCACAGGGCAGGGAGGGGCCGCTTCCCCGGGGCTCCCAGTGTCACTCAGTCCAGCCGCGGTAGTTCTTCCGGTGTCATCCGCATTTTTTTTTTTTTTAAAGTATCTCAGCCCCCAAACTACAGTGAAGTTGGGAGCCTGTTTAATAATAGGAACGTTCGTCATGAAAGCCACGCTTAGACTGGCCGGCACGTTCTCTAGCTGCAAGGTGCATGGCAAACTTGGACCTGAACAGCAGACTGAGGGAGGTACACAGGGGCACCCAGCACGAGAAATAAATACGCTCACGAAAGCACGGGGTCAGGCGGGGTCCGGTGCCCGCGGGGCAGCGGCAAGGGCTTGCTCCACACTGGACGCTCAACCCCGGGGCTGCAGGGCCGCTGGAGGCGCGGGCTGGGCTGGCTTTGCCGGAGCCCCGTGTCCTTTAGAATGTGAGGAGCAGCTGACGTCCACGACGGGGCTCAGAGGCCCCGGGCCCTTCCCAGGCCTCAGCTACTGTGGTTGCAGATGGTGGTGACATCAGCACGGGTGTGCCCAGAGGACCCAAGGCATCCTGGGAAAGCCAGGCACCCAGACAGGCCTCTAGACAGCTCCATGTCCCGTCAGCATCCTCCTCCTGTGGCCCAGGCCGCCTGGGATTCCCCCTGGCCCGAGGGCGGATGGAGTCCGAGCGAGGAGTCTGCCTCTCAGTCAGCCCGGCTGTGGCGGCGAGTCTCCTGGGGCCTGGCATCTTGTCCTGGGGCTGAGCAGGCCAGGCCTTGGCCAGCAGGGACAGTGGCCCTGGGGCTTTCCGTCAGAGGCTGTACCGAGGCACAGCCATCCTCTGAGCTGGGCATCTGAGGGGGTCCCTTCACCATTCCCTTGAGCCTCGATCTGGACGATGGAGTGAAGCTGGGGGAGGGGTCACAGGCCGCCTGGGAAGACAGCGGGGCCAAGTGCTTGGACCCTCCCCTCCCCCCGCCAGAGTGGGTGGCTCTGCTCACTGTGGGAGCACCTGGGCCTTTGCGGCCAGCCGAGAGGAGGAGGCGGGGGAAGGGGAGAGGAAAGGAGCAGGGAGCAGGAAGATGACCACACCTCAAGGAGAGGGAAAGCCAGGGCCCACTGCTCTCCGGGTGTCGGGTGCAGGCTGAGCAGCGGGCGCTGGGCGGACGGGCGTTGGGGAATTGGGCAGGAGGGAGTGGGGACCACGAATAAATTATGCTTCTGTTTCCTGTCACTTGGGAGCCTCAGCGCGAAGCCCGGTTTTGGGTGTGGGCACACACGTCTGCAGGGAGCGGCGCTCCCGTGCGGCCGGACAGCCTGGCTGAGGGAAGGGCTTCGTAGGAGGGCGGAGTCGCCAGGCAGCAGGGCCAGCAGGAGCGTGCGGCCCAGGCGCCCCAGTGCTGCTGCAGGAGGAGGCTGGCTGGGGTCTCTGGAGTGGTCTCCCCACCCCCGCCAGGCAGCCTGACTCCTCAGCCCAAGGACACGCCAGGGGCGGCCGCTGCGTCTGGCTCCTGCTCACTGGACGCCTGGTCCTGGCGGGCTCAGCTGCGGTGGCACAACCCTCCCCAGGAGGGCCGGTGGCGTCCCTGCACCCCGCAGGTGGAGACGGTGCCAGCAGCCCCCGAGAGCCGGAGCTGAGAGCCACGGTCTTCCTGGCTTCTTTCTTCCCCTCCCCTTTCTGAGTGCTGTGTGACAGGTGAGAGCCAGCAGTGTTTCCTGTGCAGGAAGCGAGCGCCGTGCCGGCTACGGGAAGTCGCTTCCATCGTAGATCACAGGCCGGTCAACTGTCAAGTGATAAAAGACTTTTTTGGAGACGAACCTGAGGAAACAGAAGCGGAAAGGGGGGGCGTCACCCTGAGGGCTGAGGGACCAGGGGTGGCGGCTGCCACGGGCCCCTGCAGGTTTTGTGACCACCCTAGCTGGGCGCAGGTGCCAGAGGCCCCAGGGGGATCCTGACCCACTCGAGGGTGCCTGGGCCTCTGTGGGCCCCTTCCTGTCCCTCAGCAGGTGCTCTCCCTGCACAGCGGGGTGTGGGTAGGGATGGGGCGGGGGCAGGACATCCGCACAGGCCTCCGGGTCTGGGTGCAGAACCGCCCTTTGGGGCACAGGCTGGGAACCCCCCGCCCTTCCCTACACACATGGCTGCTCTGAAGCTGGGACCACGCAGGGCAGCAGGTGGACGGGCCCCTGGGAGGAAGCACGTGCTGGAGGCTGGTGTGGGTTTCAAGACAAATCAGCATTCATGCCAGTTTGGCCTCCCAGGCTGTGTGCAGCTCAGAGGGCCCCAGAGATGACCCCCAGGGGCCAAGGTCAGAGTGATCACGGGGAGCCTGCCTAGGGTCTGGGATGGTGCCCTGCCCTCATCACTCTCCTGGCTTCTGCCCAGCCACAGCAAGGCCCAGTGAGGCCTTGACAACACTCACTCTGCTGCTCAGAGGAAGAAGCTGGGGCTGGCTACGCAGAACCCATGCCTCGCTGTGCCCAGCCCCTCTCCTAACCACCTGCCCGTCCAGCTGGCCAGGAAGCTCTGGGGTTTGGGCCCCCGTCTGCAGGACAGTGGGCTGGGGCAGTGCTCACAGGCAGCCCTCTGGACAAGCCAGGCCTGCACCACAGTCTTGCCAACACCAGGCATTCCCCTAGGGGAATGCAGGGCAGGCTCATCCCCCAGCTTCTCCCAGGACGGACGCCCCACCCCAGCCCAGGGAGTTGAAGGCCTGCAGGCAGTGAGGGGTGGCACAGCTTTTCCCTAGCGGGTCCTGTCCAGTTACTGTGCCATGCAGGGGAGGTGGCCAATGGCATAGCGAATGCTTAGAGAGGGTGTGGCTGGGCACAGAGCAGGCAGGTCTCTTTAAAGAGGCAGCCGTAACGAAGGGGCTACGCTGAAGCCAGGACACAGGCCTTGTCTCGTGCTTGTGGCAGATGCGTGGTCAGGGTGGTCCTCTCTCAGGGCCCCATGCCTGCCCCACCTTCCTGACCGGTCTTCTCCTTGCCCTTCAATCCAGAACCTCCCTCAGAGGCTGTTGCCACAGCCCAGCCAGGGGCTTTGCCTTGCCATCTCAGTCCTGCTGCTCCGGGGCTTCACCCTGGGTTCACGGCCCTCTTCCTCCCTCCGTCATCCACGCAGCCCTTCGCTGGGTTTCTGAGCCCCTTCTTGGGGCTGGGCTGTGAGGCTGACCAGAGAGGGGCAGAGGGCACACAGGTCAGAGGTCAGGCTCTGGGTCTTTGCCTCCTGCTTCCAACCTGGCTCCGCTGCAGCCGTGTGGCTTGGGAGTGTGCGGCACGAGGCGGTCTCTGCGGCACGGAGCGAGCCCGGAACGCACTCGGTGAGCGGGAAGGCCCTCATGCTCACGGCACGCGCCGGGCACGCGGGAGAGGCCTGCTCACGAGCAGCTCGTGGCGAGCCCACAGCGGGTTCTCAGCGGCCGCTCGTGCTCCTACCAGGCGGCGGCGAGGCCCGGGGCTGCGGGGCCTACCTGGAGAAGGTGTTGTCAAAGATGAGCATGTAGATGCCCGGCGCGCGCACCTTCAGCTGGCCCTGGATGTTCTCCTTGTGCGAGTTGCAGCGCGTCGTGGGGATCAGCACCTGGAGGAGGGCAGGGACGGAAGGCGTCACGGGGGCCGGAGGGGCCGAGAGGGGCCTCCGGGCAGACTCTTGACTTCGGGGAGGAGGCTAGTGTCCTCTGAGGCTGCCCCTGGCAGTACGGGAATGGGGTGGGGGGTGGGGTCACCGCGCAGCCTGAGTCTTTTGCGACAACGTGAGTAGGGGAGGCTGCGGTACACTTTCACCCAGAACCATGGTGGTCAGGCCCTCCCGGAGGGTCCGCCAGCCTCCCTCAGCCACAGTGGAGGAGCAGCCCCGCCCTGGCCCCAGGAAGCTGGGGCTGCTGGAAGTAAAGTGCGTCTGCCAGCCAGATGATGCCAGCGCTGCCCCTTCCAGAACCTCCCAGGCCCCGTGGGAAGCTGGAGGGCTCACTCTGCCCGCGGCTGCACGCCCTCTCCTGGCGGGGCCCTGGGACCCTTTCCTCTCTCCGAGCCTCAGCCTCAGCCCCCTGGTCACCCCCTGCCTTCTGTGGGAACGAGAAACTCCGGCCAGGAAACACTGCGTCTGGAGGACGGTGTGTGCTGGCCAGGGCCGGCCGGGTCTCAGGGTGGCCAGCCTCCTCCCCCAGGCACGGGGTCTCCACCCGCTGACCAGCTCAGACACAGGCCCCGTGTTAATACTGAAGCAGTAAGAGTGGACCAAAACTTAACTGAGTTTTGTGGGGAGCAGCCCGGACTGGACTGAGTTACTGGAATTAAGACTTATTCTATGCATCTGCTCTCCCACAATATGGCGCTGGGAGAGAAGTAAACAGCTTCCGCACAGCTGCCTCCAGTTCAGCTAATAAACTGTAGGACTTGCTCCTGATTGGAGGAGAGCAGCGTACTCGGCGTGTGGGCAGCCGAGTTGGGATTGGCGGAGGAGGACTATAAAGGAGGAGAGAGACGGCATGCACAGGGAACATCTAAGGGGAACATCTAGCTGAAGGAACACCTGTGCAGCCCCCCAGAGAACCGGCCGGCGGTGTGCCGCTCCCCTGCGGAAGTGGGGAATGTGGCCAGGGGGAACTGCCCTTCCACGGAGGTGGAAGGGATAGTAGCCAACCCGGGAAGAACCAGCAGCAAACCCGGGGAGGGCCGAGCAGCAGAAGAAAGAACAGCGCAGGGTCCTGTGTCGTTCCTCCACGAAGAGGGGGAGCGACAAGTTTGTCTTTCTTTTCCTTTTTTTTTTTTTTTTTTTTTTTTGACAGGCAGAGTGGACAGTGAGAGAGAGAGAGAGAGAGAGAGAGAGAGAAAGGTCTTCCTTTTGCCGTTGGTTCACCCTCCAATGGCCGCCGCAGCCGGCGCACTGCACTGATCCGAAGGCAGGAGCCAGGTGCTTCTCCTGGTCTCCCATGGGGTGCAGGGCCCAAGCACTTGGGCCATCCTCCACTGCACTCCTGGGCCACAGCAGAGAGCTGGCCTGGAAGAGGGGCAACTGGGACAGAATCCGGTGCCCCGACCGGGACTAGAACCCAGTGTGCCGGCGCTGCAAGGCGGAGGATTAGCCTAGTGAGCCACGGCGCCGGCTCTTTTCCTGTTTTAAAGAAGCGACAGATGTTGAGCAGGTCTACCCAGGTCCTGAGCCCCCACACGGCGCTAGCAACACGTGAGGGACCACGCCCACATCTTAGCAACGCTGAGTGCCTAAGGTGGGAAACTGCCCCAAGCAGGCATGTTTATTCTTTTTGTATACATATATTTATAAAAAGATATTTGAAAGGCAGAGTTACAGACAGAGAAGGAAAGAGAGAGGTCGTCCACCTGCTGGTTCACACCAAATGGTTGCAATGGCTGGAGCTGGGCCAGGCTGAAGCCAGGAGCCAAGAACTTCTTCCAGGTCTCCCACGCAGGATTGGAAATGCAGCAGCCAGGACTCAAACTGGTGCCCACATGGGATGTGGGCATCCCAAGCTTAACCTGATACATCACAGTGCCTGCCCCTTCCCTAGCTTTCTGCTTGCAGGGGAAAAGGGAACAAAAAACAGAGACAAACAGAAGGCAAAAGCAGGATGACAACCTCAAACCTAACCTCAACACGATCACACTCAGGGTGGACAGCCTTCACAGCCATGGCGGAACCATCAGACTGGCTATCAGCAACCCCACCCTACTAGAAATGCAATTTAAATATGAAGGTACAAACAGGTTAGAAGTAAGTGATGTAAAAACGCGTACCATGCTAGCACATCAGACAAAAGAATGCTGAAATGCTGTTATTAATATCAGATAAAGTAGATTTTATGTCAAAAAATATTGTCAGGGACAATTTCATAAGGACAAAGATGTAGGTTCATCAACAGGACAAACTAATCCTAAACGTTTACGCCTGAAATGACAGAACTTGTAACCAGGAAACTGAGGCCAGCGCTGTGGTGTAGAAATTGAAGCCTCTGCCTGCAGTGCCAGCATTCGGGCGCCGGTTCGAGTCCTGGCTGCTCTACTTCCGATCCAGTTCCCTGCTAATGCGCCTGGGAAAGAAGTGGAAAATAGCCCAAGTCCTTGGGCCCCTGCACCTCCATGAGAGACCCAGATGAAGCTCCTGGCTCCTGGCTTTGGATTGGCCCAGCTCTGGCCATTGTGGCCATTTGGGGAGTGAACCAGTGGATGAGATCTGTCTCTCACTCTTGCGCTCTCTCTCCTTATCTCTATGTATCTCTGCCTTTCAAATAAATAAATAAATAAATAAATTTAAAAACAAAAAGAAGAAAAGAAAACCAGGAAACAACCAGTAGTAGAACTTCGAGGAGAAACAGCCAAATTCACCAGTGAGGGTGTGGTCTGCCACGTCCCTCTGCCAGTGACTGATGGGCAAGTGGACAGGAGCTCACACGGGAGGAGAGGACCTGGGCAGTGCTGTCTGCTCACCTGGCCCCCAGACAGGCACGGAACACTCTGCCCAGCAGCGGCAGGACACTGCCCTCCTTCAAGTACAAATATTCATCCGCGCAGACCACTCCAGGCCATCAAAACAACGACAAGACTCCAGATTTAAAAGGCCGTAAGTGATATAACATGTCCTCTGACCACAATAGAATTCAACTAGAAATCAACAGCAGATCTCTGGAACGTTCCCAAATATTTGGAAACGAAAACAACACACTTAAACCCATGGGTCAAAGAGAAGCCGCAAGGGAGATCACCAAGGCCCAGGAGGGAGGGTGCGGCCACACAGCGTCACTGTGCTGGGACACACACCAGAGCTGGTGCGGAGGGGGCACAGGACAGGCCCAGGGCCTGCGAGCAGGGAACAGCACGCCTGCACCCAGAGTGCCCGCAGCTGCGGGGAACAGGACAACCTGTGCCGAGCACCTGCTCCGATCAGGGAGTGGCAGCCTCTCATCCATGGAACCTCGTTTAGTTCTGACCTGTAATATGCCAGGTCCACGCAGGAGGCAGACTCCTGGGAGCCTGAGGGGTGGGTTTGTCTCCGGGGTCCCGAGCCTGGCCGACACTCCAGCCAGCGACTGACCGCTTGCTGTTAGCAGGGGCAGCTGCGTGCCCACCCTGCACACCTCCACGCTCACTACCTTGCTTATGGAGCGACAGCAGGAGCTCACTGGGGCAGGTGCTATGAGGAGGATACTTGCAAAAATACATTACTGTGTGTTCTTTAAACTAACATTATTCCTTCAAGAGTCCATTCCAGCTGCTGTTTCCCGACCATGGATGGTCAAAATGCGAGGTTTCCTCATTGTTTTTCCTGAATCAAAACACGAAGAAGTCTAGCGGAGATGAACAAAGGCTCTGGTGTTAGGGTGGGCTTCCCCTGGCGCCCCCCAGCAGCCGCCACGCCTGGGCAGGTGATGTCCCGCTGTGTGTGATGTGTCTGCGAAGCAGCCCCAGCCCAGGTTCACTCATGTCCCGACGGGTTCTGGGGCCCTGGGCCATGGCCAGAGCAAGGGTTCTGTGCTAAGTGAAAGGAGCCAGCTACAAGATGGGCAAAGAGGCTTGCGAGCGCTGCTAATGGCACGCACGGGGTTCCTGTGAGAGGGTGAAATGATCTGAGTGAGCCAGTGGCAATGGCCGCACGTCTCTGACTATGCCTGCACGTCTCTGACTACGCCCGCACGTCTCTGTGACTACGCCCGCACGCCTCTGACTACGCCTGCACAGCTCTGTGACTATGCCAGCAACCACCAGAGATACATTTTAGATGCAGGAATTACTGCTGGGTGAATGGTATCTCAACAACGCTATTCCTTTTGGAAAGTCTGGGGTCCTTGCTCTCAGTCCTGGTTCCTCCTCTGACTCCCTCTGAGGCCCCCAGCTGGCGTCGAGCTTCTCTGGACACAAGTGGGTCCCTGGGCAGGGTCTGGCCCTGTCAGGCAGCAGCCTACATGGGGAGCTTTGCGTCCATGGTTCACTGTCTACTTCATCAGCTGCCTCCCCCAGGTTCACCATCTCTGGTCTCAGCGTCAAGGCCATGGCTGCTCGGGGACAGGGTGGCTCAGTGTGGGGAGTGTCTGCAGGTGCCACTGGCGGGGAGGCTGGCCTCGTGCTGTGCTGCTCTGTCCTCCTGGACGCTCCCCCTCTGACCCACGCCCCCTTGCCTCACCTCACCTGCTGCTCCTCCTCCCTTCTGTTAACGTGGTCTTCCCTAGCAGCCCAGGGGCCTCCGCCCCAATTACTGTGCCCCTGGTGGGCTTGGCACCCTTCCCAGGTGTACCCACGGTGCCTGTGTCCCCCATCGTGGCACTCTCCCCTGGAACCACAGGTGTCTATTTGTGGGGGTCCTGTTCCAATTTCACTGTGAACTCTTCAAGCCCAGATCCATGCTGTCCCTTTCTCTCTCCACTCCCAGTGGGCCTATAGAGCCTAGCATACAGCAGAGCCCAGTGAGTGGCTGTCAATGGTGGCAAGTACGCAGCTTCCACCCGCTGCGATCCTGAGACCTGAGGGCCGCAATCTGCAGCGCATTTGTCATTTTCTATATGGCTCAGGCAGGCAGGGGGCACACGGGAGTCCCTGGGGCAGGCGCTGACATGTGCCTGGAAAAGCTCCGCTCGGGGACTTCAGGCAGACACAGCAGCTGCCCCCAGGCTCACTGGTGACTGTGGGGTTGTGAAGGCAGATGACCTATATTGGTCCTAGACTGCCCCCTGGTGTCCACTGTAGGGAAGGACAGGGTCACCATAACCCCAGAAGCTGGAAACCAGGAAGCCTCAGCCAGGTCCCAAGCGGGTCCTGATGCCTGGCAGAAGCACACGGGTTTGCCAGGGCTGTGTGGGCTCAGTGGGTGAGGGACTGAGCAAGGGCAGAGGCCATAGCCCAGCCCTGCGTGCAGAGGTGGGCTGGCTGGGGCCGGGCTGCCTGGTTTCATTTCCTTCCCTCCCTTCAAACACTCACCAGAGTCTAATCTGGCCGGTCCCAGTGCTGGGTGGGCCTGGAGGACATGCAGGTGTGCAGGGAAGGTGCGTCTGGGAATGTCTACACAGCGTGCTGCTCCTCTGAGCACAACTGACAGGCACCCGCCCACACTGCCGCTGGCCTGCCCGGCCCCGGCCATCATTTTCCATCTCGGCTGTGATCTGGGACTGAGCCCAGCCTCACAGAGTGAGAAAGAGCCTTCCTGTGCCATCAGATGTGCTGACAACTCCACCTCGGGGGCCCGAGGAGGAGCCTTGGCCCACAGGTGCCAGCGCCTGCCCGCCTTGGTGAGGTGCAGAACCGCTCAGACTGGGCTCCAACGCCAGGTGCGTGATGCTGGCTGTGGGTCTCCACGGGAGAAGAGAGGCAGAGACTTTACACAAGACAGGACACGAGGGGACTGGTGCTGTGGCACAGCAGGTAAAGTCATAGTCTGCAGTGCCAGCAGCCCATCTGGGTGCCAGTTCGAGTCCCGTCTGCTCGAATTCTGATCCAGCTCTCTGCTGTGGCCTGGGAAAGCAGTGGAAGATGGCCCAAGACCTCGGGTCCTGCACCCGCGTGGGAGAACTGGAAGAAGCTCCTGGCTCCTGGCTTTGTCCTGGCTGTTGTGTATATTTGGGAAGTGAAACAGTGGATGGAAGACTCTCTCTCTTTCTCCTCTACTCCCTCACTCTGCCTTTCAAATAAGTAAATAAGATCTTTAAAAAAAAAAAAAAAAGACATAAGACCCCGGGCCGACAAGACAAGGTGGAGTTAGCTCCCAGAGTGAGTTTGCAGAGGATGGGAGTAACAAAGTGAGCTCTATAGTCAGGAGGTTCTAAGGAGAGTGACAGTAGGATGCATACAGTCCCACAGCCCTCTGTGTGCTGTGTGTTATCCTGCCTGCCCTCCTGCCCGGTGCCCTCAGCCTGGCTCTCTTGTCCTACACCTTTCTGGTGTCTCAGCCCTGAGCCCCAAGGGCACTCGGTGGACCAAGCACACAAGGGACTAATAGACATTATTGCGAAGGCTCACAGGGCTCTGGTTTCACAGGCCTCCCAATCACTCTTCCCTGTCTCCATCCTTGCCAGTCTTGCAACACCGAGACTTCTGCCACCACACACCCAGCCCAGGAGCCACTTCCAGCTGAAGCCTGCACGGGGACTGCCCTGGCCAGCCTGTGCACCTGGAATGATTCAAACGGAACTTCCGCTTCCACCCGAGCCGGCTCTCCCGCCAGCACCCCTGTCGCAGAGATGCGCGCGTGGACTTCAGACCCCAGGCAGGGTCTCCCTCCCCTTCCCCCTGTCCTGAGTCAGCCACTCCTGCTCTGGCTCCCAGCCCCTTGAACTACATCTGCGGTTATCAACCTGGGCTGCTTACTAGAACCACAGGGGGATGCCTGGATTCCACTCTGGGGCTCTGATTTGAGGGCCTGGCGTGGGGTCTTCAAAGCTCTCTAGGGGTTCCTAATGCACAGTCAAGGTCAAGGACCTTGTCCAGGCCCTGTGGACATTCCACACCTGGCAGCACTTTTTGGTTTATGAGCTGCTCTCTGCCCAACGTCCCAGCAGACACTGCGCTTGTCTCCGCCGCTGGCCTTGCAGGAGACGCCGGGCAGCCTGAGCTAACAACCAGAGGCAGACAGGGCCCCACCTCCCGAGGTGGCCATTCCTGCCGCGCACAGCTGTTAGAAATGATCCTTAGGCTGCGTCATCTGTACTCTGCTGAGTTTCACGTCCAGATCTCCCGCAAGCTCAGTCAGGGGGCAACCTTCACACGTTCAAACAGCACATCTGAGCCTCAGGGGCTTCCCTTCCCCGGGCTGGATCGGCCCCAGGTGCGCTGCCTGCCCCGCACGACAACGCAGCCGGGAACACGGCAGACAAGCCCTGCCCAGGCATCCTGCCCTGGGTGGCGGGGCCCGCAGCAGGCGCCGGCTCACCTTGCACTGATCCAGCGGTGTGTCCTCGGCCTCCCGGAAGACCACGCAGAAGGAGATGCTCTTGGGGTCGGAGGAGAAGACCCAGCTGATGGTGAGGCCTGCCTCGGCTGCGGTGATGCAGATCAGGCTGTAGGTGCTGGACCTCACGAACAGCTCCCGGGGGCCCTCCCCGAAGCTGGCGAGCTCCTCCATGCTGAGAGGCAATTTGATCCTGAAATGGAAGCAGAGGGATCTGAACGGCTGGCAGTCGCCGACCAGGTTGCTGGGGACTTGGAGGTGGCTACAGCCTTCGGAGACTCCTGGAGGAAAGCCTCAGACAATGCTGACCACAATGCTTCATTACAGATGCGGGGTTCACTCCAACAGGTGTTTCCTGGGCACTCAGTGTGTGCCTGGCATAGTTCCAGGCCCAAGGACCAGCACAGATGGGAATGAGGTGGGGAGCTGCCTGCACCCTCTGTGGACAGGAAGTGAGTGCCAAGGCTGCCCTGTTGCCTGATTTCTGTGTTCTACCTGCCTTTCACCTAACCTGTCCCCGCCCCATCCTTCGGGAACAATGGGCCCCGTGGTGGGGCCCCACGCAGGCACCAACCTCTTCTTATAGCCTCACGCCGGGCACATGGGTGCTTGGGTGGTTTGGGGAGAGAAGCTCCTTGGGGATCTATTTTTTTTTTTTTAAAGATTTACTTACTTATTTGAAAGGCAGAGTTAAAGAGAGAGAGAGAGAGAGACAGAGAGAGAGACAGAGAATATGTTCCATCTGTTGGCTCACTTCCCAAATGGCCACAATGACTGGGGCTGGACCAGGTGGAAGCCGGGAGCCAGAAGCTTCTTCTGGTTCTCCCACGGCAGGGACCAAGCACTTGGGCCATCTTCTACTGTTTTCCCAGCTGCATCAGCAGGGGGCTGAATCGGAAGTGAAGCAGCCAGGGCTCAAACTGGTAGCCACATAGGATGTCAGCACTTCAGGCTTGACCTGCTGTGCCACAGTGCCGGCCCCCGGGGATCTAGCTCTCACTAGGTGGGTAGAAGCCTCTTCTTGAAGTTTACAGTCCCTGGCAGTGACACCTCTGCTTCCGGGGCACCGGCCTCACTTGTCTGCCAAGGGCTTAGGCTCTTGTGCGCCCCAGTTCCTCGTCTGCAAAGCAGAAACAAGCATGCCTGCCTCAGGACCCAGGTGCACATTGCCTTCGCTCATGAACTGGAGGCGACCAGGACATCTGATGCTCCTGCCCTGAGCTGCGGCTCGGCTCAACAGCGCCCCCTCTTGCACAGGGCAACCCCAGAGGCAGCAAGGCTGGCTCAAGATCTTGGGGACAAGATCTCCCTAGTAGGGCTGCACCTTGGGAGTGGTGTGGCCCGGGGCAAGTCACTCCCATGGGGCCTCATTTCTTCAACTAAGAAATGGGAGCGTGGCGGCCAGGGCGGGCTAGGCCCTCTGCCCACGACTCCGTGTGCCACCACAATGGCTACAGGAGGAGAGCATGACTGCTGCCATTCTACAAAGCAGGAAATTGGGAAATTCGGTTCTGGGTTTTACAGGTCTGATTCAAAGCCATCACCTTTTTTTTTATTAAGAGATGTAATTATTTCTTTGAAAGGCACAGTTACAGAAAGATAGGGAGAGACAGAAGAGAGAGATATTTCATCTGCTAGTTTACTCCCCAAATGGTCACAATAGCCAGGACTGGACCAGACTTCCACTGCTTTCCCAGGCCACTAGAAGGGCGCTGGATTGAAAATGGAGCAGCCAGTCCTCTTCTGATCCAGCTCTCTGCTGTGGCCTGGGAAAGCAGTGGAAGATGGCCCAAGTCCTTGGGCCCCTGCACCCGCGTGGGAGACCTGGAAGAAGCTCCTGGTTTCTGGTTTCAGATTGGCCCAGCTCCGGCCCTTGTGGCCATTTATGGAGTGAACCTGCGAATGGTTCTCCATCTCTCCCTCTGTCTGTAATTCAACCTCTCAAATAAATAAGTAAAATCTTAAAAAAATTTTTTTAAACCCTATATATATATATAGTTTTCTTTTTTAAAGATTTATTTTATTATTTGAATGACAGAGTTATAGAGAGAGGAAGAGACAGAGAGAGAGGTCTTCCATCTGCTGGTTCACTCTACAGATGGCCACAACGATCGAAGCTGTGCCGATCTGAAGCCAGGATCCAGGAGCTTCTTCTGGGTCTCCCATGTGGATGCAGGGGCCCAAGTTGGTCATCTTCACTGCTTCCAGCATAGCAGAGAAGCTGATGAAGAGCAGCAGCAGACTAACTGCACCGTATGGGATGCCAGCGCTTCAGGCCAGGGATTTAACCCACTGCGCCCACAGCTCCGGCCCCTATATATAGTTTCTTAAAAAAAAAAAAAAGTGGAGCGGCTGGGACATGAACCAGCACTCACACAGATCCCGGTGTTGCAGGCGGTGGCTTTACCCTGTGCCACAGTGCCGGCCCCAAAAGCTGTCACCTTTCTATTGCACCAAACTGCTTCTCATGGAGAAAATCTAATACTGTCCCCTTTAACACAGAGAGGTAAAACAAAGCTCAGAGAAGTTACTTTATGTGCTTAAGACTGCACAGCAAGTAAGCAATAACACAGCAAGCTCTTTGTCTCCAAAGCGTGAAGGCCGACGGTAATACCCCTCAAAGCTCTGCTAAGAGCAGTATTCAACACTCCACAGAGCTTGCAGGAGCAGTCTACTCACTTCTGTGAGAATTTAGTTCCATTCAACACTTCTCCATGTGTGAACCTCCGCTTTATTTCTAACTAAAAGCCCTTGCTACAATTTTCAGACCTCCAAGCACAGGCAGGGAGATTCCGAGCACAGGGCACGCCTCGTGTATCACCGCGGAGGAGCAGCGAGCGGGCAGACGCCCCATCGACGCTGGTCACCGTGCAGCTCGAGTCCTGGCACCTGCCTGCGCCGTGGGTCTCCGTTACTTTCCTATGCGCCATCCGTTCAGTGAGGACCTTACTCAGTCAAACCAATCAGGCGGCTGCCACCTAGGCACACATCCAGCTGGAACTCAAGCCCGCTGTCTGCGTGCAAACCCTACCACGTGATCCAGAGATTCCAGTCTGTGTGAGCTCAGGGGCACCAACCAATTTTCCAGGTTCTGAGCTAATCGCAACCGCTCGTGTTGAAAGGAGCCAAGAGCCACCATAAAAAAATGGGGCTCCTGAGACAAACCGTTCCAGAGACAGCCTTGGGAAATGGGGAGTAAACCGGTTCACAGAGAAAGCAGTCAGCTACTAACCAGAGATACACAGAACACCTGCCTTGTAGATAAGCCCCTTCCCTACGCTTGCTCAAGGTTAACAAAGAAAGCTGCAAGGCACGTAGCAACCTATTCCTCTCTCCTAGAGACCCCCTCCCCTAATGTATCCCTTTGACCCAGTACTTTTCCACCGACATTACCACTTTTAGACTGCCATACAAGGCCCGCTACTGAAAATTATCCAATGAACTTACGCCAGCCTATAATATGTTAATTTTGTGGTTTTGCCCTTTAAAAGCTGTGTGAGATAGCTGCTCGGGGCTCCTCTCGCTTGCTTGCTGCTTGCAGCAGTAGAGGGCCCATTTGTACAAATGAAATAAAATTACCTCCTGTTCTATTGCATCGTCTGGTCCGGAGTCTGTGTTTCTGGGGTCGTCACAAGAGGACACCGCTTTTGGGGTCCTACAGTGTGTTGTCAGAGTTTCTGGAACTGTGCTTGCTAAACCCCAGATGTTGTGCATCTCTTCGAAAGGGGCAGCAGTCCGAGGCACTGTCACCCTGCTCGGCTGACGTTTCCTACGCACTCATCTTATGCCACCCTCTGCAAGGGCCGCTTGGATTCTGTGTGTTTGGGTTACTTCTTAGTCCATGACTTTTTCCACATCCCTCTGCGGAAGGCACCGTGTTTGAAAGTTTTATTATGAACAACTTCAAACATTTACCTGCTCTTCTGCATTAAGTGCCAAGGACAAAACAATTCAGCAATGGCAATGTAGGAAAGCGAAGGTGAGCTTCTTAGGGACCCGGGACTTGAGGAAAATCACACCAGGAAAACTGCCCCCTGGGGTCCCCTCCCTCATTTAGTCCAAAACCACACATCACGCTACAAACCAGGACAATCAGGGCTAAGCGGGAACCCGCAATTGGCAGAGGCCAACACTGGCCTCCATTAGGTGTGGGAGTTGCACGACAAGGCTGTTAGAGCAGCCAGCAGAAAATCGCTTCCGCAAGAATTTCAAATATTTTTGAAACAAAGTAAAACAAACTCATAGCACAGAAACAGAAGATATACATAAGAGGGAAGTGGAGCTTTTAGAACTAAAAAAAAATACAATCATCAAAACAGACGATCCAAGGATGGGCTCCAGCAGAAGGAATGTAACTGCCCAACCTGAAGAAATGACTCAGCCGGTCAGCACAGGGGAGAGGAAGGAGACGGGGAAAGAGCAGAGTCTCGGGGAGCTGCAAGACAACCAGGTTCTAACAACTGTCTCTCCCGTTTCTAACACTTCCCCTCCCGAAGGCAGAGGAAAGCAGGTTTCAATCTGAAAATATATTCAATGAAATGATGGCTAAAGACTTCTCAAATTTGGTAAAGGGCACAAACCTACAGATTCCAGCACTGAGCGTGCCCAAACCAGGAAGAGCACACGGAGATTCCCGCCGGGACCATCGGAATTCCACCTCTGGGGCCGGCGCCGTGGCTCAGGGGGCAAGGCCTCTGCTTGCAGCGCCAGCATCCCACACGGGTGCTGGTTTGGTCCCAGCTACTCCATTTCCGATCCAGCTCTTTGCTGGGGCCTGGGAAAGCAGTGGAAGATGGTCCAAGTGCCCGGGCCCCCACGTGGGAGACCCAGAGGAGGGTCCTGGCTCCCGGCTTCGGATCAGCTTCGCTAGGGCTGTTGTGGCCATTTGGGGAGTGAACCAGCGGATGGAAGACCTCTCTCTCTGTCTCTCCATCTCTCTGTAACTCTACCTCTCAAATAAACAAAATAAATCTTGAAAAGAGAAAAAAGAATTATACCTCTGCAAACAGAAGACAAAGAAAAAAGTCCCGGAGGCGCCCGAGAGAAACGATGTGTTCCCTACGAAGGAGCGCTCATTTGAATGTCGGCGTACTGCCCACCTCACACGGAGGCCAGAGGAAGGCACCATTTTGTGAAAGGAAGGAACGGCCAACTGTGAATTGTCTGACAAAATGTCCCTCAACAATTTTGCTGAACCCAGCGGTGAGACGAGAAACCCAGAGCAGAGTGAGGGGGGCTGCTTTCAGCAGTGGAGCCCCCGCACCAACAGGCTAAGGAACGGGAGCCTGGGAGCCCCCACAGAAACGCATGGATGGTATTCAACACCGTTTCGCGGTGAGCCACGTTCGCTTTGATGGCCGCTAACTGCTGCTGCTGCGAGCAGCGCTGGAGGAACGCCCTGGGCGCTCTGTGTGCGTCCAGTCACCATTTCCTGAGAGCCTCTCCTCTGCCTGCGCGCACCCATCACTATTTCCCGAGAGCGCGTTCCTCTGCCTGCGCGCGTCCATCACTATTTCCCCGAGCGCGCGTTCCTCTGCCTGCGCGCGTCCATCACTATTTCCCGAGCGCGCGCCCCTCTGCCTGCGCGCACCCATCACCATTTCCCCGAGCGCGCCCCTCTGCCTGCGCGCACCCATCACCATTTCCCCGAGCGCGCCCCTCTGCCTGCGCGCACCCATCACCATTTCCCCGAGCGCGCTCCTCTGCCTGCGCGCGTCCATCACCATTTCCCCGAGCGCGCCCCTCTGCCTGCGCGCATCCATCACTATTTCCCCGAGCGCGTTCCTCTGCCTGCGCGCACCCATCACTATTTCCCGAGCGCGCGCCCCTCTGCCTGCGCGCGTCCATCACTATTTCCCGAGCGCGCGCCCCTCTGCCTGCGCGCGTCCATCACTATTTCCCGAGCGCGCGTTCCTCTGCGCGCATCCACCATTTCCTGAGCGCACACTGCGACACAAGTCCCTGGGGCTGAAGGGAAGGCAGAGCGCGTGCACTTCCGGTGCCTCCTGCAGCCAAGCTGCTCCCCAGAAAGAGTAAACGACACCCCACCTTCCCTCACACCCTCAGCTAGTGGGCGGGTGAGCAGTCCAATTCCTCCTGTGTGGACTGACCTGTAATTCAGTGCGGGGTCTGACAAGCAGGGCCCAGGGATCACGGGAGAACTGGCTCAACACCGCATCTACTCGGATCCTGCAGGAGGTGCTGCGGCGCCACCTTCCCAATGTCTGACCTCACCCCTGCGCTCTCTTGGCTGCCATCTGGCTGGAGGAAGCAGGGGTGCTTCCACCCCTCCGAACCGCTCTCCCCACTGCTGCCCCCACCGCCTCTGCCCACAGGACAACCACGGTGCTCCCTGTCCACAAAGAGATCACACCACGTCACTGTTCTGCTCCAAACCTAGTTTTTGGGCTCCCCATCCCCCCAGACTAAAAGCCAAAGCCCTCACAGCGGAAAACAGGGCCCTGTGTTCCCTCTCCGACTATGCCTCCCTCGGTCTCTGCTGTGGCCTTCACTGTGCCAGCTTCAGGCCTTTGCACTGGCTGGCTGGCTGCCTGGAATGCTCTCCCTTCAGACACTGGCTGGCAACTCCTTCTCTTTCACACCTCATGTCCTCGGTGACACCCTATTTAAAACTGCAAACGCCTCTCCTCTTATCCTACTCTTGGTCCGGTCTCTGCCTTAGGAAGCACCACCTGAAACAAAGTACATGCCACATGTCTACCTGTGCTGCTGGTCAGTCCATCACCCCTGCTTTTATCTGTTTTGTTCACGATGTGCTCTGAACACCCAAGGCAGGGCTTGGCACCCAGTAGGGTGTGAAGAAACACCTGTGAGCGAATCCACCTGATGACTCGTGTGCAGCCACTGCACACAACACTGGAGAAACCCATGACATGGGAACACACATGCAACAACCAATGTACAAAGACTGCAGATTCAGTTGCAGAGTAGTTGTCTATATCAAGAAATTATGATGGGACTGGTGCTGTGGTGTAGCGGGTAAAGCCACCGCCTGCAATGCCAGCATCCCTTATGGGCGCTGGTTCAAGTCCAGGCTGCTTCACTTCTGATCCAGCTCTCTGCTATGGCCTGGGAAAGCAGTGGAAGATGGCCTAAGTCCTTGGGCCTTTGCATCCACGTGGGAGAATGGGAAGAAGCTCCTGGCTCCTGGCTTCGGATTGGCACAGCTCTGGCCATGGTGGCTAACTGGGGAGTGAACCAGTGGATGGAAGATCTCTCTCTCTGTCTCTCTGCCTCTGCATCTCTGTAACTCTGCCTTTCAAATACATAAATCTCTTAAAAAAAAAAAAAGAAATTATGTATAGATAGGGTCTGGCCTCCATATCCAGGGCTTCCACCTCTGTGGCCTCAATCAACTACAGGCGGGCCAGAATTCTTCTTTACAAAACTGCATGGGGGTAGGCATTTGGAGCACGCCCACGCCCCACGCTGGAGTGCCTGGGTTTGAGTCCCAGCTCTCCTCCCTGTTCCAGCTCCCTGCTACTGTGCGCCCTGGGAGGCAGCAGTGACGGCTCAAGTAGCTGGGGTCCTGCTCCCAGGTGGGAGACTGCAGGGTAGAGTTCTGAGCTCCTGGCTTTGGCCTGACCGAGCCCCGGCTACTGTGGGCGTGGGGAGGGAATCAGCAGTGAAGGAGGGTCTTTTGTTGCCTCTAGCTCTCTGCTTCTTGAGTAAATAACTTTTAAACACTGCACCTGTACTGAACAGGTACAGACTTGTTCTTTATCAATATTCCCTGAGCAATACAGGACGGCGACTATTTACATGGCATTCACACTGTGCTAGGTGCTGTAAGTCAGCCAGAGGTGACTCAAGGCACGCAGGACCATGTGAACAGCTTATGTGCAAACGCTGCACCATCTTCTACAAGGGACTTGAACGCTGCAGGTTTTGGCACCCGTGGGGAGTCCTGGAACCAACTCCCAGAGGATCCCGAGGGACGAATCTACGTGCAGAGAAGCCTGGAGGGCCGCAGCCTGGTCTGCTCACGTCCCTGTGCCCTGCCTGCTACAATGCAAACGCACTGTTCTCACAGCAGGAAAACCAGTGTCGCCTGCAGTAGGACAGCGATGGCTACCCGGGGCCCAGGGAACTTTTCAGGGCGGCGGAACTGGTCTGCATCTTAAGTGTGGCGGTGACCTGTCAACACCGAGGCACAGTGTGCTAGGGACTGTGAATCTTAACTATAGACATTCTACCTGAGGAAAAGCCAAGCCCGGATGGGGGCGCTGTGGGTGCCACGTTCCGGCCTCGGCCGGGAAGGGCGGCTGCCACTTACATGAGCTCGCCGGACTTGAGCAGGCAGATCTCCACGTCCTGCCCCACGGGCGCATCCTCCGTGTCCTCAGGGGTGAGCGAGTTGGACGTGGTGTCCCTGAAATGTTTTAAAAGAGAACACAGCCGTCAGCCACCCAGCACACCAGCTTCCGTACCTGACACCCACAGCCCTGGTGTCCCGCAGCCCCTCAGAACGCATGTGTGACCCTCACACCATGGAGACCGTGCCCGAGGCCCCGGCAGACTCCACAGGAGGTGGGAGGCACAGGGGCTGCTGCAGCGACTGTCTTCCCTGGGGGTAGGGGACAGCGTGAGCAGAAACACAAAGCGCCGGCTGAGCTACTGCCACAGGCCAGGTTACCAGCACCTGATCCTCAGTGCCAGCCCATGACGGAGACGCCTGCCCTGCTCTGCCTCGCCACAGGAACAGGAAACAGGTGCCCGGGGCTGAGGGGGTAGGCAGTGGTTAGGGTCAGGAGGGCGGTGAGGGGACAGGGCTAAGCACAACGTGGGCAGAGCTGAAGTCCGTCTCCTCCTTCCCTCTCAGCCCTATCTGATGAGCAGAGACAGCAGCAGCCCCCTGTCAGCGGGGACACGTTCCCAGGCCTCACTGGTGCCCGAAACCACCGAGAGCACTGAGCTCTCCACCTTCATCCAGAATGGCGTGCGATTTCGCAGTTGCCAAGTTCCCTTCTAGTGTTTTCATGTAGTGTTTGTGGACCCTGCTGAGGGCAGGTAAGTGAACTGGGGAAAGCAGAACCATGGACGGGGGAGGGGAACTACTGTACGGCCACGCCACAGGGCCCCAGCTGTGTTCCAGGGGACATCAGTGCCAGGGAGGCGAGTCCCCTACACTGTGCCCCGCGCGGCAGACCAAGGCTCCACCACACACTGCAGTCAGGAGCCTCTGAAATTCTACCTTGCGTGTTCTGTATTTATTTGCCTATGGAACACCTCAGCACCTGCTGACTCGCTAATCCTTACTGGTGAGGCCCAGAGGCCCAGGATGTTCTTGGACACAGGGCTGGAGCCGGAAGTGGAGGCTCTGACTGTCGCTTGGGCTCTCCCTGCCGGGCAGGGCCCCAGGGAGCTTGGCCAGTGGCTCATGCAATTTCAAGGACCAGCCAGCGCCACTCCCTATCTGCCAAAGAGGAAAACTGGCTTGCCCACATGAAGGACTTAATGAGGACAACCTCCCAACCAGCAATGCCTCTTCCCAAAATGGTGCAACAACCCCCTTCCCAACAGCCCTGGAGAGCTCCCCCCAAGAGTCCCGAGGGTAGGATACAATGTGCCCCCCCGTGCCACACCCAGTTCCTCCTGGGTTCCTCTGGGTTCCTCTTGCCCAGCCAATCCCTGGGCTCTTGCCAGCCTGGCCTCAGGTATGTTTACTCCAGCCTCACCTGCCCTCTACAGCCCCTGGGCACCATGGGAATTCACTCCTGACCTGCCCCCAGCTGCGGAGAGCTCCCTGAGATATGAACGCGTGCCCGTGCTGGGTTAGGCACTGCACTAGACACAGGAAGGGCCCTCGCCCACCACCGAGGCAGACCAGGGCGCGTCAGGTGCAGCAGCACAGGCAGGGCAGCCGGCCAGCAGCAGGCGCCCTGGGCACGAGCCGAGACGGCCCTCCTCCTTCACAGCCGCTCAGGTACCGCGCGAGGCTCCGTCTGGACTGCGGCCATGACTCGTGCTGGGAAGCGGGTGCACTGTGAGGGTGGCTGACCGGGGATGGCCGTGCTGCAGAAGGGTTCCACGGCTTCCTTAGTGAACTGCCAGATCACGGAGCCCAGAGCCCCTGTGAGTCTGGGACCTGCACATCTGTGGGAGGTCAGGGATGCAAAGGAGAGGGCAGGGGAGCCGCCTCAATGCTTGCGGAGCTTCTGCTGGGGAGTGCAGCTGCAGGCACTGCTGCTGGCGTTTCAATGCCAGGTGCACAGACGTGGGGGTGAGATGCTCCATCCTGCCACAGGGGGGAGCACTCACACCACAGCGCAGGGCGTCCCTGTGCTGGGTCTGAGGGCTGAGGCTCTTTGCTCAGTCAGCAGGATCCCCAGAAGTCCCATTCGGGCATCCAGGAACATCTGTGTAACACCCGGTGCACCTGCAGCAACAGCACCACCCCAAGGGCCCATGCTTGAAGGTGACTGGTGGCTGAGGCTCCGAGATGACACAGAGCATCTGCAGCCTGTTCCCACCCTCCAAGCCCCCAGCCCACACTCCTTCCTGCACCCTGTGCACACCGATGTCACAGCCCTGGTCTCAGTGGCCTTACTCATCTGCCTCTGGGTCTTTTTTATTTTAAGGATGTGTTTTATTTATTTGAAAGGCAGAGTTACAGAGAGAGAGAGAAGGAAAGAGAGAAAAAGAGAGAGAGAACAAACCATCTGCTGGTTTGTTCACTCCCCAAATGGCCACAGCAGCCAAGCTGGGCCAGGCCAAAGCCAGAAGCCAGAAGCTTCTCCTGGGTCTCCCTCATGGGTACAGGGGCTCTAGCACTTGGGTCATCTTCTGCTGCTTTCCCAGGCACATTAGCAGGGAACTGGATCAAAAGTGGGGCAGCTGGGACTTGAAGCGGTGCCCATATGGGATCCCAGTACTGCAGGTCAGCCCCTGCCTCTGGGTCTTACATCCCCCTTGGCCACGAGCTCCTTGGCCATGCAGGGCGGCCTCATCTCACTTGCTTCCATCCTAGTCCCAAGTGCACATACCATAAACGAGACACGACACAGGGCAGGACAAGAAACATGGAAAACTGCAGTTGCTTCTCCCCATTTCCCCTATTTAGGATAAACGGTGCCCCTGGTCTGTAGTCCCCTCTTCCTCTTCCTCCCCCTCCTCTGGCCTCACAATGACAGACCAGCCCTGTCTTCCTCTGGGTAACCAGGGTAGCCTCCCCAGGCCCTGGGTGGATGGGTAGGTGATGCGGTCTCAGATGTGATGATTAGGGACAGGGATATCTTCCCAAAGGATGAAGTTGTGGGTCACTGCCCATTCAGTGGGCTGTGAAGCAACTGAGTAGGTTATGACCAACAGTGAGAGAGACAGAACAGAAAACGTCAATGTGATAATACATTGCAAGCTGCAAGGATAAATATTATTTTATGAAGCCTTTCTAAATTATGTGTACACATCGCGCTCAGCCCTCTGCCTCTCTGCTGAGCCGCCCGCCTGGTCTGACCAGGTGTATTCTCTCTACTCAACCATATAACCTCGCCCCCCCACCCCTGCCCCTCAGTCCGAGCAACTGCACTCTCTCAGGTCCTGTCTGGAGAGGTGCCCATCCGTCCTTACGGATGTCCCTTCCCTAATAAACCTTGCTATTTTACCTCCCACTACTCTCTGTCTCACGCCTGAATTCTTTCTTGCGCGAAGACAAGAACCCTGCAATTTCTCTGGTAATAGCTCATGTCAGCAGCCCCCGGAGAGGGTTTCTTTCTCTGTTGATAAGATTTAATATATTCCCTCTCTCTGTAACTCTGCCTCTCAAATAAATAAAATATTTGTAAAAAAGGGGGAGCTCTGTGGTATAGCGGGTACACCCGCCTCCTGCAGTCCTGGCATCCCATATGGGCACCGATTCAAGTCCCCGCTGCTCCGCTTCCGATCCAGCTCTCTGCTGTGGCCTGGGAAAGCAGTGGAAGATGGTCCACGTGCTTGGGCCCCTGCACCCACGTGGGAGACCCGAAGAAGCTCCTGGATCCTGGCTTTGGATCGCCCCATTCTGGCCCTTGGGGCCCTCTGAGGAGTGAGTCAGTGAATGAAAGACCTCCCCTCCCCTCCGCCCATGCCTCTGCCTCTCTGTAACTCTGCCTTTCAAATAAATAAACCTTAAAAAAAATTATGTGTACACACATGCACACCTAGGTAGTCAGGTGGAGTGCATCTCTTACTGCAGGACGCAGTAGAAAATGTTTCAACAATTGTTAGAGAATGTCAAGGGATTAAAAAAACCATCATGATGGGCATCAAAAGCACAGCCACTAGAGGGCACCCTGGCTCCCACTACAGCCACTTCCTCCACCTGCACTGAAGTCAGTTTTCTCAGAAAGGTGGATCAACTCTGCTCACAAGTGACTCCTGCCCGCTCCTGCTCTGCCATGGGACCTGCCACAGCTGATGGTGGCCTCGGACAGCTGATGCAGGCCACCTTTTCCTGCTGAGTCGCTGTCCCGGAGCCTCTCTTGAGCACGCACGCAGGTCCAGCGATTGCTCGTCCCCTGGGGGAGGTGTCCAGGTGCTCCCAGGCACCCTGCCGTGCACACACGTGCTGCTCCATAGCTGTCTGAGTGATGTGCCTCACAGGAAGGGGTTGTCTTTGTCTCAGATGCCCCCCAAGGAGGACATAACCAACGCTCCACTTGAGAACTGTGAGGTTAATGAGGCAAACAAACAGCATGACGCCCAGGGTCTGCAGTCCAGCAATCCACGCCTCTCTGGGTGAGGGCTCATGGCAGGAGCTGGAAAGCCTAGTGCCTCTCTGTCACTTGTTTTTCATTTCATCACTGTACAACTCCGGGCCTGCAGAGGGCCTGGGGGCAGGTGCCCAGCCTGTCTGGACTGTGGCTGAGAACAGAGAGGCCCCCAGGAAGTTCCCCCACCATCTTGCTGAGGGTCCTTCCCAAGGGCTCCGTCTACCTGTCCTCGCCAACCCAGCACAGGGACAGGTGTGGCTGCACCTGGCTCCCAGGGCGCCTCCAGGCCTCCAGCTCAGCCTCCCTCCGAGTCATCTCTGGCCAACTGGACAAGCCTTCAGCTGCACTCCACAACGCAGTCACCACGAGCCACATGTGACTGCTTAACACTTCAATTCCTCAGAAGCAAATGCAGCTGGAGAGGTGGCTCTTTGGCTGCCCTATCCACACTTGAAGTGCTGACACAGAACTCTGGCCCCCAAACCAACTGAGTGGCTCAGTCCCCTGAGCTTTGCTGCAAGTCTTCTGTGCTAGGATGCCAGGTTCTCAGACACACACATTCCCACACAGCCTGCAGCCAGGGCAAGCAGCAGGCACGCGTCTCTGTTCCCCCCGTGGCGCACAAGGAACTGCCGAGAGGAGCATGGCTGAGAGTCTGATAAGCCTCAGGCCGCTCTACTACGCAATAGGCTTGGCCTGAACTTCACGGTTGGCTTCTCCTTGCAATAGCCTCCTCCAGAGCGTAAAGATCCCAACTCGTCAGGCAGGCTTGCTCTAAGGTCTCTTTCAGAGGGCTGGTGCCTTGGTCCACTCTGTCCTCTCAAGTCCATCACCCGACCTTCCTGTGGCCACCTGTCCGCTGAGAGGTATTCCAGCAGCCTCGTGGCTCCTGCTCTTAACGAACGCTCCACCCACTCATATGAGTTTGTAGTAAAAGATCATCTGCATGAGTTCACTCAACAAAGGCCTGAAACCCACCAGAGGGCTTTAGACCGCTTACCAGGCCCCTGGGCAGCTCTGTCCTCAGAAGAGTAGGGCCCTGGCTTTGCAGTCAGCACAGACCCCGTGTGCCCTCCCCCCGGGCAAGCTCTTCATCGGACCTCCTGCTTACTCGAGGGAGCAATCCAGCCCAGGGCCCGGCTCGTGGTAAAACCGGTGTCAGTTTCTAGGTCCTGGGGCTGCTCCTGCCCCCAGTCCCAGTCCCTGACTCCTGCCCTGAGGAAGAGCCGCACCCAAGGTGTGCCCAGCAGGTGGGCACAGTGGCAGCACTGGGGGAAGCATCTGATGAGGAGTGCCAGGCAGGGGAGGGAGGTCCGACACGCGGGCAGGTGGGCAGCTGCTTCTGGCGGACACAGAGTCCACACCTCTACCCAGGGCCCTCTCCACCAGGAGCGGCTGGGGAAGGTGGCTCAGGCAGACATCGCTCTGATTCTTGCCCTGCTGGTGAGTTACTACACTGGCTCACGGAGACGAATCACTAGAGTTAATCTGGGAGACTCCCAGGGTGGAGCACACCCCAGGTATCTGGACGATTCCCTCCAGGATGGGAGGGTCCCTGCTGCCAAGGCGCCTGAGAGGTGACGGTTTAGGTCACAGGGGTGGGGAGCATCCAGCCACGGGCCATGGAAGTCCTGTGAGATCATTTGGTCTGGGCCTACCAACCCAACTGCTGGAGGGCCTGGAAACTCAGTAAATCTAGAGCAGGATAATTTTTAGGGTGATAATGTTGTATGGCCTGTGAATCCATGTTCCAAATGGCCCCTGGCAGAAACATGTTTCCTACCTCCTGTAGGTGGGGCTGCCCAGGCCCTATGGCACACCTGTCACCCAGACGCCCCTGATCCTTTGGTCTGGCCCTGATGGAGCCCTGAGTTTCTATCTTCCAAATGCCAGTTGGCTATCAGCTGTGCACACATGAGGCTGTAATTTCAGCTATGGTCCTCAGTATTCTCACTCTGCAGGTCAGAGGACCAGGTATGTGGGAGTGCGTGCACACACAGACCCCAGCCCACAGTGTACACCTTGCACTGGCCCAGCCCCAAACAGTTCCAAAGAGATGCATGGCTAGCAAATGAAATAATCTTAAGAGACAAATGCCCCTGTCGTCAGGGGACTGCCAGAGCCAACCCTACTCACTGCTCCCCCTGGTTTACAAACAAAACCCTCTCAGGGCCCGAGAGAATAAGCTCCAAACGAGGAGAGGAGGACTGTCGGGATCTCTGGGCCCCCGAGTACGCAGCTGCAGGCTGGTCATGTGGATTCTGAGCTACAGGATGCGGGTGGCGTGGGTCTGCAGAGCAACCAGCCGAGGGCTCTTAAACACTCGGCGGAAACCTGGCCCACATCACAGGAGTGGAGGTGGCAGTGGCCTCGTGAGCAAGCTCATCTCTGGAACCACGGCCAAGGCGCCTCTGCTGGTGAGTCATTTCTCTTCCCCCTCATGCTGAAGACAGAGGACTGACCCCAGGCACGGCCAGGGTTCCCAGCCTCACGCCTGCAGCAAAGCACAGGGTAAAACGGGCAGGCTACAGTGCTCAGCTGCTCTCGGTTCAAAATCCATCCCTGCCACTGGTGGGAAAGCTGATGGCGCTGATGGCGCTGAAGGCAACGGGGCCGGCAGAGCCGCCCAGGGAGTCGGGAGTCACTGCCGAGATTTGCTCACTGAATAATCTCCGTTTTCCTTTCTTTTCCACTCTGCAAGACAAGCTGTGAGCACAGCTGACTTCACTTTTTCTAAACAATATATAGTAACAGACTGCTGGAGAAACTTTGGAAACTACAGAAAAATAGCACGGAGGGGAGGAAATAAGTTGGCCATAATTCCACCAGCCGCAGGCCGGCTGTGGATGACGTCTGGTCATTTTTCTATGCTTTTGAAGAGTCAAAATTCTAATAGTTTACCATGCATTCTTAAACCAGGGTCCCCAGAATGCACAGCAGAGGGAGTCCAGGGTTCTCATGAGCCCCGGGGCCATGGGCGTTTGTGTATAGACTCCAGGGGACACTGGAAAAGCTCATGGAAAATGCACGTTTTCCCTGGATCCGGGTCGTATTTCTGAGGGAAGGTCTGAATGGTTTATGAGATTCTCACAGTGAGAATCTTAGAGGTTTATGACTGAAAGAGTTCAAAACCATCTATTATCTAAAATAGTAACAGGTAATACTTATTTTGCATATTTACTTTGTGTTTCATTGTCTTGCACAATTTAAATGTACTACATTTTTCAAGTTAAAAGCAAATCCTAAATGTTTCAGTCATATTCTATTTTATGTCTGAATTATAAGTTGCTTCATTGTTTATTTATTATAACTTTTATGCCACTTCCAAAGTTGTAGGTTATTATTTTATTTTCAGAAATCAACATAGGATTTTGATTATAGAAAAAAAAAGAAATACATTATTTTAATCTTTTCTGTAAGGCAAAGTGACTTTTAATACTTTATCTGCCTAGAACTGTCCAGCCTCAATCTGTTAATGTAAGTTGATCAATTACCACAAAGGAATCTGCATGGGCTTTTTGTGTTGAACGTGCAGTGCGGGGGTGAGGGCCCAGCTACAGGCGGAACAGGATGCTACAAAGAAAGGTCAGAGTGAGTTCGGCAATAATGGACAGCTGGACATGCCTCTCGAGAAAAGCAAAGCTACCAGTTTCAGATTTGAAACGATAACAAGATGTTTTTGTTCTTGTGTGAAGTAATAACACACCCACCGCATCGTCTGCCCTACTTACTCCATGCCTCAGACAGCTATGGGCCAGAGCCTGCCGGCTGCCCTATCACCCTGGCAGATCTAGCACCTCGCGCTCAGGGTGCAGGGGCTGCTCAGTGACGAGCGGTGCCCCAAAGGGCAGGTCCTCAGCAGAGACGGAGGCAGGCAGCAGCAGCAGCGCCGCCACTGTTCTCAGCTACACAGTCTCTGAGAGGACGCGAAAGGCCAGACAAGCTCACTCTCGTCTGGGCAGTCAATATTCCAACTCTGCTGGACTTCGCAGAGGTACCGTCCAAACTCCTGCTGTTCTTCAAACAGTTCTCTGAGGTGCTGATGAGACAGGGCCCCGGGTCCCTGGAAATGAGCCTTTGGGTGCTGAGTATCTGCAGGTCAGAGGCAAGGTGGCCACAGCTGCCCCTGCACCTCTGTCACAGGTTACATCACCCTGTGTCCTGTGTGGTCAGAGGGGACAGAGAGCCTTGCGGGGCCAGAGCCCTGGCCAAGACAGCCAGCCACTGGGTCTCTGCTGCAAGCCCAGCTCATGGCTTCGCGGCCTTTTGGCTAAGGTCAAGTATAGCCCACCCATCTGATGTCCTGCTTCACTGGGGTTCTCCATTGTTAAGAGACCCCTAACGCCTAGCCTGCTCATCACAAAAGCTAAGGCAATATTCCCTTCCTGGGAAATCTACCTTGTAAGAGATTCCTGGAGATGAAAGAGTCTTCAGGATACGAGGCTCTGATGGGAGAATGTGGTAATGGTGACAGACGATAAAGGGCAAAGTATGGGCTAGGACAGGAACAGAACGGCCCCTTCCCTGGCCATGACAGTCGTCAGCCACCTGCTGGGCAGCCTGGGCTCTGCTAGCACTTGTTTCCCCATCAGTGAGTGGCCTTCGTAAATCGAGGCAACTGGGAGGAAGAAAAGGCAAGGACTGCCCCCCTCCCAGGCCCAGGAGTCCTGGTCACCCCCATATACCCCTGCTCCCCGGGGACCTTCGACAGGGGGGCGGGTCCTGGAAGGGGCACTGCCTTGGCCTTCAGAGTTTAACAGAAGAGGGCCAGAGGTGAGTGGGCACCTGCTGTGAGGCGTGGGAAGGTGAAGACAGGTGAGTCCACTGGCCAGCGTGGTGGCTTCTGCTCTGAAAAACGAGTTCAACAGAATGTTCAATAGAATGTGCGTGGGGGTCTCCTGTGAGCTCTCTCCAGGAAGGGTGAGACCCTGAGAATTTTAAGGCAAAAAGAGTCCCTCACCCGGCTGCAGTCATTTCCCAAGGCACGGCTGTCTCCAGGGGACTCTGCAGTGCTGTTACTGTGCACAGCAGTGGGAAGGGGGTGCCTCCCTCTGCCCCAAGCCTAACTGCTGGGCTTTGGCTCACAGGTGTTTGTCGGAGGAGCCACCACGATGGAGGACGAGTACTCCGACCCTGGCTTCTTCAACTCCACAGACAGCAGCCAGGAGCAAGAGTGCTTCTTACGCTTCAGGAAGGTCTTCGTGCCCTGCGTGTACCTGGCGGTGTTCACCTGCGGCCTGATAGGCAACTCCCTGGTGCTGGTCATCTACATCTTCTACCAGAAGCTGAAGAGCCTGACAGACGTGTTCCTGATGAACCTGCCCCTGGCCGACCTGGTCTTCGTCTGCACTCTGCCCTTCTGGGCCTACGCAGGCCTCCACGAGTGGGTCTTTGGCGAGCTCATGTGCAGGACCCTGCTGGGCATCTACGCCATAAACTTCTACACGTCCATGCTCACCCTCACCTGCATCACCGTGGATCGCTTCCTTGCAGTGGTTCAGGCCACCAAGGCCTACAACCAGCAGGCCGCGCGGAGGAGCTGGGGCAAAGCCATCTGCGTGTTCATCTGGGTGGCCTCCTTCCTGGTTTCTCTGCCGCAGATGATCTACGGCAGTGTCCTAGACCTCGACAAGCACGTCTGTGACTACCGCAACGAGAAGATTTCCACCATGGTTCTTGCCACCCAGATGGCTCTGGGCTTCTTCCTGCCACTGTTCGCCATGATTGTCTGCTACTCGGTCATTATCAGGACCCTGCTTCGGGCTCGCGGCTTCCGGAAGCACAAGTCTCTCAAGATCATCTTCCTGGTAGTGGCCGTGTTCCTGCTGACCCAGATGCCGTTCAACCTGGTGAAGCTCATCCGGAGCACGAGCTGGGAGTACCACGCCATGACCCACTTCAGTTACGTCGTCGTGGTGACGGAGGCCGTCGCGTACCTGAGGGCCTGCCTGAACCCTGTGCTCTACGCCTTTGTCGGCCTCAAGTTCCGCAAGAACTTCCTGAAGCTTGTGAAGGACGCTGGCTGCCTCCCTTACCTGGGGGTTGCAAGTCAAATGAAGTCTTCTGAGGACAATTCCAAGACGTGCTCTGCGTCCCACCACGCGGAGGCCACCAGCATGTTCCAGCTGTAGGCCGAGGAGATGCACCTCCGGAACTTCCTGAGCACGGCTGTGCTTCCTGGACGTGATGAAGAAGGCTTTGTTTACAGCTTGTGCATTCCCACGGGGAAGAAACCAAACACCGGCTAGCTTAGAAGGCGGCTTCTCAGACGCGAACATACTCTGTTCTCTCCTGGAACCTCCAAGGGGCTCTACAATTTTTAAGGGCTTTCCTTCCTCCACCCCAAGAATGGTGATAACAAGGGGATGCCGTGTGACAAGTCTATGGTCTCAGGTACTCCTTGAGTGGGACTGAAGGTCACAGATAGGAATACAGTCGACAAAGCTGTTGAGGGTCAGGGGAGATGAGGACCCTTCTGTCTCCTGGGCAAGCAGTGGAGATGAGAAGGGCTTGTCCTCACGGCTCCCACCTCCCTCACCAGGCACCCTGCGGAAACGAGATCAGGCTCTGCTCACTGGGGGTCTGACTTTCGTACAGGGTGATGCGAGATGTGTTCCCTCTGACTGACATTGGAAGGACCAGCACCAGGGACTATAAAGAGGCTAAACAAATCGGATTGCCTAAACAAATCCAGAAGGCCACGGCACGCTAGAAAAACGTGAGAAACTGAGATCGAGGCCAATGCATCCAAGCAGCGCTTTCGGATTGGCTTCTTGGGTGCCTCTGCTCCCTTAAAGATGAACTTTTCAGTGCCTGCCCCCTCACCCCCCACGCCAAACAGCATACGTTCCATGACCAGAAAATAAACACTTTTTACGAGTCTCTACACTGCTTGTCCCTCGTGTGCATTTTCCTCCAGGGTGACATGTCTGGAATCTAGCAACAAGTCACTTCTGGGCTGGGAGGAAGTAAAGATCACTGCCCCGCTCGTTCACTGTGGTTTCCAGTCCCAGGCCCACAACAGGGGCCACCCTTGCCTGACTTCTGTGACAGGGCCACGGGATGAGGGGTTGCTTGAAATGGCAGACTTCTGTTCAACAAGCTTGAAGGTGCTCCGTAGGTTCATGCATCCCCAAATCATTCCCCCACTATGGAGAAACAACGGGCAACAGCTAAGCAGAATGCCCAGGGAGGCAGGCCCCATCGGGCTTAACTGTGTGGTTTGGGGGCTTGGGTGGGCAAGAGACCCGGGTGGAATCCCTGCCGCCCCCTGGGTGGGAAGCCCTGAGCGAGTCGCTAAACCTCTGACCAGCTGTTTCCTTTCTCTTTGGCGTCACCTGGATCATAGCAGAACCCACCGCTCACAGCTGGTGTGCAGGGGACCTCAGAGGTGCAGACAAAGTCCCCGGCACAGTTTGCACCCTGGGTAAGGGGTTTCCAAAATGGCAGCAGCTGTTCATTCTTACAGATCTGGAAAAAAGGTAAGCCCTCTAGGCCAGCCCTGCAGGTCAGTAGGTGAGGGAGGGTCTGCTGAGTGCCTTCCCGAGGGGCATGGCAGGCCAGTGTACCCTGGGCCAGCCGAGCACAGGCCAGGCCCTGCAGGGCCCTCCAGATCTGGGGCACCACCCCAGAGGTCACTGACATGCCCCCACTGGGACCTCTCCTCACTGGACTCAGGCCACAGGGGCCACCAAGTGCTTCCTCAAACAACGGCGCCTGCCCACTGCAGGGTGAGAGGGCTGACACGACGGACCTTCCTCTCCCTGGCTTCCAAGAGGGCTTCTGTCCCCCTGCCTTTGCACATCCACCTGAATGTGAAGCCTTGCATACAGAGGGGCCGCCAGTCCCTGGCTTGCCTGACACTGTCCCAGCCCTGGACGCAGAGGTCCTTGTGGGAAGGGAGAAGTAGACACGGCTGCGGGCTCTGCACAGGAAGAAGCGTGAGGGACTGGGAGGCAGGGCTCAGAACACTCAGACTGAGCTTGGAGATGCCCCCGCCCTGCCCCTGTGCACCTCTCTGGGCAAGTGCCACAGCCTCCCCAGGGCCCCACCCACACCACGGGTTGAAGACAGCCCTCCCTTTCAGGTGCTTGGGAGGCGAGAACAGTACACTCCATGGGCTATACTTGGGGTCTTCCTGGCCACGGCGTTCTCAGAGGACAGCTGCTGGGACCACTGGCCACCTGTCCCCAGGAAGAGCCCAGCGGCAGAAGCCCCCCCCCCCCCCCAGGCACCCCCTGCTCCCACATTCTCTGGGCCTTCCCTGCTGCACCTGGGTGCAGGGATCATTTTTCCAACTCCTTCCTGCATTTGCATCAACACTGGCAATAAACACTGGCACTGCACATGCAGGCTGCAGAGGGCCTACATGTCTGGACCTCGTTCCCTCCACACCACAGCCGAGGAAGCAGGTGACACTGCTGTTACGGTTCCATGCCACAGAGCAGGAGAGTGAGGTCACATCTGGGGCCGAATCAGCCCAAGCTCAAACTCGCTCCCCTCCTCCTCCACCTCCCCCACCCCGCCCCGCCCTTGGCTTTCCCTTCTGCTCATGCACAGCAGCACAGGGCCTCAAAGATCTGCAGTACCAGGAGGGCTGGGCGACGGAGTCAGGCTGCGTGTGGACCCTGCCTGAGGCCAGAGTGCCCGGGGTGCAGACTCCCCCACAGGGTCCCGACTCCTGGGGCACTGGTTGTGCTGAAGGGCTCCCGCCATGGTTAGAGACATGGCAGAAGCTGCAGAGTGCGCTGCCTGAGCTGCACGGAGCCAGGGGCTCCTTGGGAGTCCAGGTGTTCTCCAGGAGCACTCTGGAGATGGGAGATGGAGCCAGAGGCCAGAGAGAAGGAAAGGTTAAAGCCACCGCCAGTGAGAGGTGGGGACAGAGCAGAGAGCTGGGGGCTGGGAGTGGTCAGGGTGGCTGCTCCGATCTTTGACTCCAAGGGGCCCAAAGCAGCACCCCATTCCAGGTGCTCTGGCCTTCCTGGCCCAAGGGAATTGTGTGTTGTTTGGTAGGAGCCTGGCACCATCATCTTTCAGACAAAGCCAGCCCAGAGATTAAAACCTGCCAGAGCTCACGCAGCAGGGCCAGGGCTCCTTGCCCGCGAAACCGCATCTTTCTCTGCCCCCACATGGTTTCATGCGAGTGACAGGCCGCAGGGCACCCGCCAGCTCTGAATTCATCTGAAGGCGGAGACTGTGGGTTAGCCCAAAAACAAGGTGGCTTTCTAGCCTTAACCATGATCACCATATCCTGTTCTCGTTTCGTTTTTGAGATGCCAGGTATTGACTCTCCTGCTTGGTGAGGAATCCGGCAGACACCGGAAGCAAGCACCCATCCGGGAGCATCTGCTGGCCATTTACTATGTGGGTGGGTTCGGCGAGCTCACTTAGCGTCATGTAGAAAAGGTGATGAGGCCACAGGGTGCAGCAGAAGACAGGCCTGGCACAGCCTGGCCTCACCGTTCAGTGTCACACATCCCGAAAACAACACACGTCCACTGTACTTGCAACCCCAACTCCCACCTCAGCTGCCTCCCAGCCCCGCTGCTGGAGCTGAGCCCCCAGTGAAGGGACTGAGTGCAGGGGGCTGAGCCCGGAGCACGGTGCCTGCAGGCCAGCAACCTGACCAGGTGCGTCTCACCTGGGAGAGCTCCTCACTGCACACAACCTGTGCGCCTGGCCTAGAAGCAGCCATGACAGGGTGAAGGCTGTGCAGTGGCCATGGGAGTCAAAGCCTCAGGCCCTTGCCAGCCCTTGTCCTATATCCCAGCCTCATTCACCAGCTGACTGCCTGCCAGCTCAGCCCTGAAAACAGTACCATTCGAGCCGAGCTGGGGCCCTGGGAGGTCACTCAGGGAGGCCACAGTGCCCTGCCAAGTCCCCCAAAAGGCTGGAATCAGGGACCCTCTCCTGTCTCACCACTGCCAGGAGGGAGCAGGCAAACAACTTATTCAGCCCTAAGCATGTGCTGTGTGCAGAGGCGGGGCCTTAGCGGCTACAGGTTCTAGGCGACGGGGCAATGGGAGGATGGGGCCCAGAGAAGACAGTGGAGCCAGCCCTTCCTTGGGCTGGAGGGAGGCCTCTGGGTCCAAAGCCTGGTCTTGACCCTCATAACAGTACAACCAGACTTCTGCTTCTTCTTCTTCTTCTTTTTAAAATGTATTTATTTGAAAGGAAGAGTTACAGAGAGAGAGAGGGAGAGGCAGACAGAAAGACCTTCCATCTGCTGTTTCTCTCCCCAAATGGATGCAACAGCTGGGACTGGCCAGATTGATGCCAGGAGCCTGGAACGCCATCTGGGTCTCACAGGAGACCCAGAGTAATTGTGCTATCTTCCTCTGCATTCCCAGGTGCGCTAGCAAGGAGCTGGATTGGAGACAGCATAGCTGGGACTTGAACTGGCACTCACACAGGATGCCGACATTGTAGGTGGCGGCTTAACCTGCTGTGCCACAATGCTGGCCCCTCCAATCACTATTTCCTTGGCTCTTTCATGACAATGAATTTTTCCTGTTTGAAAATCCTTTCCCTTCTTGGCATCCATATTACCATTTTTCCTTTTATTTCTCTTGTTACTTTTTCTTTGTGTCTTCTTGCACTCCACGGGCAGGACTTGCCTGTTTCACTTCAGTTTGTGTATTTTCCCTTGGGCAATTTCACTCATTCCCCCAGCTTCACCTGGTGGCATTTGATTGATGTTTTTTTTAGATTCCTGCAGTCACATCTCCAAAGGTTGATGCATCCATACCTTTTTCCTCAGCACTTGCCTTGTGTATCCAATTCCTTGTTGAATTTCACCTGGATGTGCACAAGCAACTCAAATTCAACAAATCCCAAAATGAAATTATCTTCCTTCTCAACTTGTTCCTTCTTCTGCATTACCTATCATGCTTTGGGCTGAGCGTGAGAAATGGATCTCCCAGTTTCCAGAAGAAATACATAAAGGTCAACCACAGGAGACAGGGAAAAGCAGCCGCGGTTCACACAGTAGTCGGACGTTGCTCACGGTAAAACAGCCGATGTAAGAAGGCACCAGGAACACCAGGATCAGCAGAATTACACACAGGGTCACTTTCCAGTGAAAATAATGGGAGCTGTTTTTCAATACTCCGAAGATTTCAAAAATGATGAGCTCACACATGGTGCAGGAAAATGCAAAAGTCACGGAGAAGATCGCCCACCCGTACAACATACTGTCATACCTCATATCCTCAAACAATTGGCACCTGAAGAAAAGCCACCCACACCCAAACAAAAGTACCTGGGGGGTCATCATGATGCTGGAGTTGATCAGGGAACTCATGGAGAAGCGTAAGGAGGGCTCACGCCTTCACTTCCAACGCCCCAAGCCCACCGCACACTGAGGTGCCGGCCCCCTCACCAGCGGCCTACGCCCGGGGGCTGGCGCCCAAACGGGCCTTCCTTCTGCTTCTTGACCTGTGAAATGGCTGGGAACCCGTGCTCCTGAAGGGCTGTGCGGGCCTGTGTGAGGTCACAGGGCAGGGCCCCTGGACAGGGCAGCTGCTCTGGCGCTGCTCCCTCCTGGGTCACTTGCGTGCGTGTGCTTATTTCTATCTCTTTCCTGTCTCAAATCCAGGCCTCTGTATCCCCTGCCCTCACCCCCTACTCTGCTTTCCCAACCTCTGGAGTTTTTGGTTGGGTCTTAGACTTACGAAGAAAAGGCTCACAAGAGAAAGCTACTAGGCGTGTTTGAGTTTGTCTCGAGCTAACTGACAAAGAGCAAAGAGGTGTCTGACCGCCTTGGAGGGCTGGCGCCTCCAGTGCGGCGACCCAGGTTTCCATCAGGCAGTCCCAGATCCGCCTTGGAGGCCAGAGCCAGTTTCCTTCCCTGGAGCAGTTCCTGATTTCCCAAGACCCAAACACGTGCATTTGTCAGCGGTCAGAAAGTCTTCTGTTTTTGTTCCTATTGGGAAAGGGGAAAGGGAGGGGGACAGAGCAATGGGGGAGGGGGCGAAAGGGAGCTACCTTCCCAAGCAGGCCACAAGAGGCGGCAAGGCACCTTCAAGCCGAAGATGACCTCCCAGATCCCTGGGATCCTGGTCCTACCCTCCTTACCACCTGCCCACCACATTTGCCAGGTGAGGAAGGCAGAATGTGGCCTATGCGAACAGAATGGAGCAGGCCTGGGCACCTGGGGCAGAGGGTTGCGGAGAACACACTAGGCTCAAGGAGGCAGGGAAGGCTGCAGAGGGAAGAGCACCAGGAAGGCAGGGAAAGGCCAAGTCAAGAGTCACAGTGAGCAGAGGCTGCCATGGACTCACCGAACAAGTTGGCTTCACCCGTGCGGCCACAAGCGAGCTCAGTCCCTCATCAGGCGACAGAAGGCTTAACCAAAACCCACCCAGGAAGAGTGGAGGCAGAAATCCTGGGAGGGCAGTGTGACAGGTCAGCCCCCGCCCTCCCTGGGACTCTGGGCAGGAGGACAGGAAGGGAGACATCGCCGTGAGCTGGTAGGAGCATCACACGAGCCCCTAGCTGGCGGGAAAGCTGGGCCTGGGGAGCAGTCAGTCTGTGCTACAGAACTGCACCCGAGCCACCAGGGAGAGAAACACCTTTTCTTGTTTTCCTGCAGGTCCCAGGGCATAAATGTCTAACGCTTTAATACGGTAGCACTTTGTGATTTTTTCTTTCATGTTTTTAAAAACTGGCCCTTCGTGGGGGTGTTCTAGCACAACAGTTAAGGGGCCCGAATTCCATATCAGAGTGCCAGGCCTGCTTCCAATCCAGCTGCCTGCTAATGAGCACCCTGGGAGGCAGCAGCTCACGTTGTTCAAGCACTTGGATTCCTGCCACCCACACGGGAGACCTGGATGGAGTTCCAGGCCCAGCTCCTGTTGCAGGCATTTGCAGAGTGAACCAGTAGATGGAAGCTCTCTCTCTTTCTCACTCTTTCAAGTAAGTAAAATTAAATAAAAGAAATAAACAAAAAGTAGCGGTTTTGACACAGCTCTTGCAAATGCCACAGGAGAACAGAGGGCCGAGGGAGGGTAGATACTCAGGGACACCCACGCGGCTGGTGTTCCTGTCCCTCAGAGGCTGCCCCGACAGGGGACTGCAGCCTTCTCTCCGCAGCAGGCCCAGGCCACTAGTGATGAGCAGTGTAAGGCACATGAGTAGTAAGGCACAGCGTAAGGGCATGCTGGGGGAGCAGAAAGTCCCTGGGCTCCTCAGGGTGTAGGGTACCAGTCTCACCTTTGCATTTACTTCTGTTGGAGCTCTGGGGCTTTGGCGGGGCGCACCTGGAGCTCAAGGCCTCTGGAGCAAACGTTACCACCCAAGACAACTGCCCTGCCCATGGCATTGTTACCACGCCTGACCAGTGTTTCCAAAATAGGAACTGAACTCGCACCTACTCACAGACATCTCTTGGCTTAGCGCATTTCCTGTCCTTCCTGCAACTGCCCCTTTGCAGCCCTCCCAGGGCCTAGCAGCCTGGCTCAGGGTGCCCAGAGCATGTTCTGCTCCATGAGCACTCAGTCTCTGTCCCCTGGCAAGCCGGGGAGGTCGGTGGTGCGGAACGCAGGGCCAGGAGCCTAGGGGCCCAGGAGCAGATTCTGCAAGGGCAGCACGACGCTCTGAGCAAAGGCCCAAGGCAGCACAGCAAGGGTGCTCAGTAGGTTGTGCCCTCTCCCCCAGCTCACATGTTCAAGCCCCGGCTCCCAGGACTCACACCGGGCCTGTACTGGGAGATGAGGCCTTTAAAGAAGTGAGGCAGTTAAAATGAGGCCATCCGGGAACCTGACCGTGGCCTTACAAGAAGGGATGAGGAGACGCAGCGAGGCACTTGGGGCACACCCAGGGACGACCATGTGCAGAGGCTGCAGGAGGGAGGGCAGCCATCTGCAGAGCAAGCAGAGAAGAAACCAGTCCTGCCAGCACCCTGACCCTGGCTCCCCAGGCTCCAGAACGCTGAGGACAGAATCTCTGGTTTAACGCACCCAGTCTGTGCAATCAAGTAAACGAACACCATCACTCAAGCCAAGAAACAGGTCTTCACAGAGACAGCTGAAACCAGGGAGGCCCTCTGACATGGCGTAGCACTGACCCTGCCCCACACCCGGGGCTCTCCCAGGGCTCCGCCAAGCCTAGCACTGCCCCAGGGCACCCTCCCTCCCTCTAGCAAGACGGCCGATCCCACTTCGAGCTCTGTTTGCCAGTCCTCTGGTGAGGAAGCAGCGAGTCGGCCGTGCAGCAGGCACATGGGAAATAGGAGTGACATCTACTCACTGTTCAGCCACATTTGGGTCAAGAGAATCCGTTTCAGTGGGTGTTTCAGGCAAAGAAGAGCCGGACTCCTGTATCTGGCACAGCTCCTCGTCCGTGATGATGTCGAACACAGCATCATCTGGTGGCCTGCAGTCGGTGCTTGCTCCTGGGGGGCAGAGGCGGGTCAGAGAGGAGATACACACACTGCTAGGCACAGCAGGGGCAGGCCTGACATCAGGTGTGGGGGTGCCGTGTGCGGGACAAGCTTGGTGGTCACTCAACTGACAGCTGTTCTGTCCAGACATGAGAGAAATGCCTGTTGGGACATTCCAGAAAAGCAGAGCAGGGACCACAGATGAAATTGAACGTGCAACCTAACAGACATTTCTAAGTCAGGGGCTTAGAAAGGCTGACCTCATATAGGTTGTCTCAGGTCTCCTACTCAGAAGGAAAAAACCTACCGAGCTGTTTCAGGGAAAGACGTTAACAACAGTGAAAACCCCCTTCTGTGCCACTGAATCACAGCCAGTGCTGACGGCCTCTGGGGGCAAGAGTCTGCACTGCTTTCCTCACTCCACTGCTGCTCTCCCTCTGTCAAGGCTGCAGCAGGCCCCGGGCTGCCAACCAGGGCCCCTGTGTTTGACCTCACAGCTTCTTGCTAGGAAGGCCACTGTAGGGATGCTGCTGTGCCAGCCACCCACGCACAGTCTCTAGCATAGGTCATGGAAAATGTTGAGGGCAGAGCTGAGGCAAAACAAAACAAAACAAAAAAATACGAAAGAAAGAAAGAAACCAATTAGCAGACAGGCAATGTCAGATAAAACCAAGTGATCTCAGCACACTGGCACGGTGCCAGTCTCTGTTGTCACTGCAACACAACACACACCAAGGAGAGCTCCTGGGCTGGCATGCAGAAAGAATGGTTCTGGTGAGATATGTGTCCCCAGCTACCTTACCACACGACTCCTGGGACAGGCTCTACTCTACAGGGAATGTTCTTCCTCGTGTCTCCTGCCTGTACACTGGAAGGCTTGAGCCTTGGCTGAAAAGGGGATCATGGAGTGGTTTATTCATACAGGCCTAACCACATCCCTGAACCTGCTTTCTGAGGCTGGCAGGGGGACAGGAAAGTGGGTGACAAGGATGCAAAATGATGTCCACTGAGAGAAATCAAAGAAACCCTAAGTGGAAAGCTATACCATGTTCATGGATGGGAAGAGTCAATTTTATTAAGATGTGAATTCCCCCTCAAACTGGTCTAGAGATTCAGTACAATCCCACTGAAAAGCTCACATGCATTTTTTTTTGTAGAAACTGACAAACTGATTCTAAGATTACATGGGAAAGCAAAAAACTTAAGAGTAGCCAATACTTTGAAAGAAGATAAAATTGTTCTTCCTGATTTTAAGATGATTTATAAAACAATGATAACCATAATAGTATGGCCTTGGTCAAGGCACACACACAGATAAATTGAATGCAACAGAAAGTCAAGATACAGACTCACACATATAAGGTCAACTGATTTTCAACAAGGGTGTGAAGGCAATTTGATGGAAAAAGAATAGACTTGCAATTGGAGCCACAACTATGCACAAAAAAGAAAAGGATCACTGACCTGAATGTATAACCTAAAACTATAAAACTTCTAGAAGAAAACAGGAGATCTTTGAGTCCTTGGGTTAAGCAAAATTAGATGACACCAAAAGAAAAGAAAAATAGTTGGTATATTGAATTTCATCAAAATATTAAACTTCTGTTCTTTGAAAGAGACTTCTGCTCTTCCAAAGAAAATAAAAAGACAAGCTATAGATAATCCATATCTGATAAAGAACTTGTATTTGGAATATATAGAGGACTCTCAAAATTCAATAATGAAAAATATTTTTAAGTGGGCAAATGATGTGATGAAGATACAGATACCGCCCCCCCCCAACACACACACACTGCACAGTTCTTTGTACCCAACAAAATAATGGGGCCTGCCAGTTTCCCTGATGATCCATGTCAGCAAGAGCAGAACTGACGAGGTCTCTACAGGCCAGCCAGCATCCAGGCTGAGTCCCAGAGACAAGGAGCAGAGGGCAGTGGAGTCTGCTAGCAGCAGGTGAACCTCGTGTCTGCCTCGCTCCTGCCAACTCAGCTCTGCCTGCCTCTGTGCCACACACAAAGTCTAGTTTCCTGAGGGCAGCCTGGGCTGGCCTGGGGGGAATCAAACCCCACTTCCTTTTATTGATTGAGTAGTGGGGAGACACATGGAGAACATGTCCTCCATGGCCATTAAGAGAGTAAGAGCGGCTGGTGCCGTGGCTCACTAGGCTAATCCTCCGCCTTACGGCGCTGGCACACCGGGTTCTAGTCCCGGTCGGGGCGCCGGATTCTGTCCTGGTTGCCCCTCTTCCAGGCCAGCTCTCTGCTGTGGCCCGGGAGTGCAGTGGAGGATGGCCCAAGTGCTAGGGCCCTGCACCCCATGGGAGACAAGGATAAGTACTTGGCTCCTGCCATCGGATCAGTGCGTTGCGTCGGCCGCAGTGCGCCGGCCACGACGGCCATTGGAGGGTGAACCAACGGCAAAGGAAGACCTTTCTCTCTGTCTCTCTCTCTGTCTACTCTGCCTGTCAAAAATAAATAAAAATAAATAAATAAATAAATAAGAGAGTAAGAGCTTCAGGGGGACAGTGGATGGCTTCAGCTACAACTCCTGGCCTGGGGTCACACTGGGAGAGAGGGAAAGTGCAGGGCTCAGGTTGTGCCTGACAGCAGTTTCCAAAGTGTGGGGTGTCCTGTGTTGGTAACACATGGGTGCAGAGGTACACAGGCTTCACATTAAGTCACACTGAACCCTATTAGGAGCGAGTCACTCCTTTTTTCAATTCTCTTTCAGTCCTACAGACATCAGAAGGAAAGTCCCAGGGTGAGGATGTTTTTAGTACCTTGGTAACATCTAAGTTTGGAAGACACTGAATTAAGCTTGTCAGAGCTAACTGGACACTCTGGACAGGGTGGCACCTTGAGGACTCAGTGGGCAGTCACAGGACCCTGACCTTGGCCTCCTGTGGCCTGTGGCCCAGTGTGGGCTGGTGACAGTGCAGGGCTGGGCTCGCCTTGGCTGGTGCCGGAGCCAGTGCTATCTGGGGAGCCGGGGCCTTCATTGAGCTTCCGGTAACAGGCGCGGCAGCAGCGCTCCTTCTTGCCACTGGACTTGGTCAGGACGTAGTTGTTGCAGCAGTAGTAACAGAAGACGCGGCCACATACCCTGGGGACAAAACAAGCATGGGCTCTGCCGGTGACGTCTGGCGGGGCTCATGTCACTGGCTCAGCACCAGAACTGGGCTCCATATGCCACCTGCATGGCTCCTGAGAGACCCCGCTCCGCCCCTCCCTGTGCAGCATGTGACCACATCAGCCCTTCTTGTGAGGTTTCAACACGTCAACCTGGGAAGCTTAGTGGGAGAATGTTCCTTCTCTTAACGTCTGGAGGAGAGTGTGTGACTGACACAAAATGTACCTAGAAGCTGAGGTTCAGAGACCACGGACCCACACGTGCCTGCCCAGCCTCCTCTCCTTCTGCCCCACCCCAAGCTGAGCATCACTGGCTCCCGTCCCAACGGGGGCCTGAGAGGGCGTGTGCCGCTCCGCACATCCTCCGTCCTCTAGTGAGCCCCAGGCCTGGCTCCCGTGGTGCTCCAGCGATGCTGTCCCCTCCATGTCCTTGGGGCCGAGGGACAGCCACAGTGCTGCTGCTATCTTGTGGCACTGCATCCCTGTGGGATCCCTGGGCCCAGACAGCACCTCTGAATTCACCTCTCTCTCCTTTCGGGGGGCCCTGGTGTCCACCAGGACCCCCACTTGTATGTCGTCCCTGCCTGTGTCCCTTCGAGCCGCAGCGCCCGCCCTCTGCTGGGGGTTGTGCCGCCTGCTGACCTGCAGTGGTGCCGCCGCACCATCCAGCTGAACTCTCGCTTGCAGTCGAGGCAGTGGTTGGCCTCCGTGTCCCCAAGCCACCGCTCCTCGGCACTGAGCTTCTGCTGGAACTCCAGGGCGTCTGACTTCTGCCAAAGGGCATCCTTGTCCCTGGGCAAAGGCACACCCCAAGACAAGGAGAGAAGTTATGAAAAGGCCACAATAGCCCAGCTTGATTTCGAAAGGCCAATGCCCAATTTCCCAAGTCACACGGGGAAAACTGATTTTTGCTCTGGGAGTGTCCCCTGCTCCCCACGAGGTCTCCTCGGAGTCCCAGCACAGCGACAGCATGTGTGAGACAGCGCCCAGGAGGAAGGGTCTATCAACGGCAGAGAGCTGCGGGCACGGACGGGGGCCGCTCGGGCATGTGAGCCAAGTGCAGGCGGCCACCGAGGCCTGAGGCCAGCAAGGCTGACAGCCTGTGCACGGTCCGCCTGAGGGCCGTCAGGTCCGAGGACCATGAACGCCCTCCCTCCCCGGACCTTACAGTGTTCCTGAACAAATGTCTCTTCATCAGTTTAGGGCGTGTTCCAGTAAGAAAGCATCATTAAGAAAATCAAGGATTTCCTGGCTTGGAATCAGGTCAGATGCTAACTTCTCTGATCTGAGAGAGAAGGGGGTCAGTCCAGGAAGCCAGACTGATGGCTGTCAGAGTCCTAAAACCCAGGATGCCCCCAGGGGGATGCGGACAGCGACTTCCTCTTGGCTGCTAGTGGTTTGGGGGCTTCTGGTTTGTGCCAGAGGCTAGTTTGTTCCCATACGAAGCCCTGGTCAGCACCCTGCCCTAACAGCACCGCCAAATCAATTGCAGGTCTTTTCCTTGGATAAAAATGTCTGCACATGGACTTGATCGGCTTCTCAAAGGTGTGTGAAATTGTCGGACAGCAGGAAGACCCATTTTTCTGGACTGGCCCTGTTCTCCCAACTGATCTCTGGCAACGGGGAGGCCAGACCCCCACCTCCTAGGAGTGCAGGAGGTGCTGGGAGGACCAGGCTTCTCCATCACACCTCTTGTGAGGACGTCATGCTCAGAGGGCCCTGGGTTCTACGTCTGAAACCCGATGACATGTGAGCAGAGTTTTTTTTTTTTTTTTTTTTTTGTGACAGGCAGAGTGGACAGTGAGAGAGAGAGACAGAGAGAAAGGTCTTCCTTTGCCATTGGTTCGCGCTGCGGCCGGCGCACCGCGCTGATCCGATGGCAGGAGCCAGGAGCCAGGTGCTTCTCCTGGTCTCCCATGGGGTGCAGGGCCCAAGCACCTGGGCCATCCTCCACTGCACTCCCTAGCCACAGCAGAGGGCTGGCCTGGAAGAGGGGCAACCGGGACAGAATCCGGCGCCCCGACCGGGACTAGAATCCGGTGTGCCGGCGCCGCTAGGCGGAGGATTAGCCTAGTGAGCTGCGGCACCGGCGTGAGCAGAGTTTTTAAACTTCCAAATTAGGTATAACTTCAAAATGGCCATGTTGCAGCCCTAAAGAATTAGCAGAGGTAGGCACAGCCTTCCCATGGCTGCTGACACCACAGAGACAAGGCCAATCACATCTGTGCACTGTGTGAAGGAAAGACCCAAACTACAAACTGGTCCTGCAGGCATTCTTGTCCAAACTTGGACTCCAAGTGTGAGCAAGCCCCCAGCAGAGCAAGGGTTCCCAACTCCGGCTCACTGGGGCCTGGATCCCACTCCCAGAAATCCAGATGCAGGCACTCTAGGTAGCACCTGGACAGGGGCTTTTTTTTCATGCTCCTGTGGATTCTAAGGGGCAGCCAAGGTTGAGAACTGCTGCCGATTCCAGCTATCAACTGATAGGAAACACAAGGAGTGGACGAACACATTAAATGACACCATGGGGATGCAATCAGCAAAATCCAGGCTGTGGCTTTTTCAACAGCAAATGGCAAAGCAAGCAGTAAGAGAGACGGTGGGAGACTAAAGGACTAACACACCACAAATTGCAGAACAAATTCTGAAAAAATTATTGAAAAATATTTGAAACTGACTAGATATTTGATGGCACTAAGGCACTGCAGAGTTAGTTTTTGAAGGGTGGCAATGATGAAATGGGGAGCTCTTGTCCTAGCCAGGCACAAACTGAAATACTTATGGATGGCGTGATACTACAGCTGGGAGTTGCTTCAAAATGACCTGGGAGGTGGGGGACGGGTGGGACAATCAGTGAAACAAGATTGGCATGAGCTGAATACTGCTGACGCTGGGTGCTGGGTACCTGGGGTGCATCAGATTCCTCGTTTTATTTTTTATATTTCAAAATCCCCATAAGAAAACAATTTAAGTTTTGAATGACTTGCCAACATTTAAAAAATCAAGATGTTTTGCCCCCAAACAGGGCGGTCTGGTGGCCCTGGCTCAGGCACAGTGTGCACTGGGCGGGGCTGAGCACACTGTGGGCCCCAGGCTCTCAGGCCCCTCCCCGGCCCCATACCAGTTAAAGGAGCAGTCTGCTCCCTGTGGACACTGGAGATCGGGGTGCCTGACACCGGGGAGAGGGATAGAGAAGCAATAAAAAGCCCATGAGACAGGAGCTACTAAACATCACGTATTGCCACCCTGTGGCTGAGCACAGAGTGTGAAAACAATCATGTAATAATATGAAATCCAAATCCAGACTGGCCCGGGAGGAGACAGGGCCCCGTCCTTCTACGGCTGCCACGGCCTAGCAGCCCCTGCAGGTGAGTGCGGTCCCTGAACGATGGAACAAGTGCAGGGTTGGGGGATGCCCTTGGAGCGCCCTTTCCACACCAGCTGCAAAGAAACACCAAGCCTAGAGGGCGCCCGAGACGCCACGTGGGCGGGCCCTCACCGGAGCAGCTCGATCAGCCGCTCCTCGAGGTACTTCTTGGTCCTGTTCAGGTCGTCCAGGTCAGCAAGCATCTTCTGGTCGTTTCTCTCCCGGTTTGTCACCTCCTGGCACAGTCTGCTGTAATACTCCTGGAACTTCGTGGTGGCTTTTTCAAGTTCCCTCTGGGTCCTGGGGAGCAGGGGCAGGTTTTCACGATTAGCCATGACCTCTAGCTTCCCCATGCCCCTGGCTTACCCCGGCCACTAGTGAGGCAGCCGCTGCCCTCCCAGGCTCTCCTCCTCCCCCGCTGTGCAGACGGCGGCACTCCCTGCTCACAGGTGATGCATGCCCCTCACCTTGGAGATTCCCCGCATGCACCCTCAATAGCAAGGGGCGTTCTGAGAGGGCAGGTGACTCTGAGTGAGTCAGACCGCACGGCTGGTCCCAAGCCAGGGACTGAGCTTGTGGGGAGAGCCTGCCAGGGGAAGCTCTTGGTCTGCTGATGGGAACGGACAGCGGCAGAGAGTCCAGGATACAGCCACAGGGCTGGCTCTGGGTGTCTTTGGGACTCTATACACCAGGCAGTGCAGCTCAGCTCCCTAAGGCAGTGGTTTCCAAGGGCACTCTATAAAGCCAGGCCCAGCAAGATACCTGCCACAGTGCCATTACACAGAGGGCTTTCTCGCGTCCCATATGCAGGTGTCGGGAGGGAAACCAGACACTGCCCACTAAATGAGCGCACAGGTCCGCACGCACGGAATAAATCATACAAAATCCAATCCTCGGCAGACGGGCTATGCAACTCTGAGCAGTCAAAACGAATGCTAGAAGTCCTAATGACGTGCTGGTTAGTGTTTTTAAAATGCCGCCAGACCAGGAGGTTGTCTCTCCTCAGTCACCACATGAACTGATGAGCCAGGACCCTTCTCATTCTGAGTACTGACAAGGTCAGATGACGGCACACGCACATTCAGGAAACTGAACATCAAACCCACTCTGGAGCACCAGACAGCGCGCTTGGCTCACAATCCTTATGGCCCATAAAGCCTGGAGGAAGGAGCCCTTTTGGATGGCACAGGCCAACATGGTGGGACTCATACCAGGAGGTCAAAGACAAAAAACATGGTGCAAGGGGCGGCAGGAGTCTGCCACGCACAGCCCCAGCCGCAGCCCCAGGGGGCTGTGAAGACGGGCTGACCCTGGGCCTTGGCACACTCCCTCTGCTCCTCTGACACCAGGGCACACGGTCACGTGCCACGGGAGTGCTGGGAGATTAAAGGGTAAACAGAGGACAGAGCACTCCCTAGGCGCTTGCTGTTACTACTCCCATCAGCATCACTGCACCCTCGCTTTTATTTCCTGAACAGAGCTGAGAAAGCCGAGCTGAGAGAACGGTGCTCTGGTCGCATCCAACCTGGCAGACTCTTTCAGAGTCCAGAGCTTTGCTCGCACAGGGACCTCCTCGTCCTCACAGAGCGACTGGCTTTCCAAACTCCTGCACCAGCCCGCCTTCCCCGTGAGCACGAGGGCCATGCGGGGCCCCGAGCGCTCACCTCTCCAAGTTTTCACGCAGGGCGGCCTCCTCCTTGTCCTTCTTCAGCATGGCAGCCTGGCACTCTGCCAGGCGGGCGCTGGTTTGGCTCAGCTTCTCTCCCAGGTCTGCTTGAGAGGCCTGGCATGGAACGTTGGGAGCAGACTCTCAGCGTGTGGCAGCCCACCCATGATTCCGTCAACTGATGGTGTGCCACCCTCTTCAAGGGCCAGGGCACTTTCAAAGGGAGGGCCTGTTCATGTTCAAGAGACTGAGACCCTCTGCTTGATATCTGGGGTGTGTGCCACATGTCTAGGCGTCAATCAGGACTGGTGGTGGTGGCTGGGGGTGGGGCGGCGCTGCAGGGAGAGGTGGGGGAGCAGGGCTCACTTTTCCTACACACTCAGGGGACATCACTGACTAGGGAGGCACATGGCACGACAGAGACAGGTCACCCATTTCCTCCTGCACTAGGTTGCTCCAGCTAAGGGTCCGGGGAATGGAAGGGCTCAGGATACAAACATGAGCGTCAGCAAAGGTGAACCAATGACCGCTTTGGCCTGGGATCAGGATGCCTCTCTGAGCATCCTTATGAGTGACTGGGGACAGCCAGTCAGGCCCTCCATCAGGGCCACCCAGGGCAGGGCCTACCTTCAGCCTGCCCACGGCTTCCTCGGCAGCCTGCAGCTTCTGGCCTCGCTCTTCAAGCTGGTCCTTGAGGCTCCTGCACTCCTCGCTGGCTGTCTACAGGGGATGAGAAAGGGGTCAGCCAAGGGGGGCCCTTGTTCTGCAACCCTGTCGGCCCCTCTCTTTCTTTCTCCTATGCGACTCCTCAACAGGCTTTGAGCTTTACTGGTCACAAAACACTTTAAAGCTCACTCCCCAAACTTAGAACTTCATTTCTGTAGGGAAAAAGTGGCCCATGAGCTACAAAAGGTTTTTTTTGTTTTTGTTTTTGTTTTGGCAGAGGTGGGGAAGGCCCCGCAGCGTCGCCTGAGGGTGGAGGGCCAGGAGTGGCCTGAGGGCGTACAGACTCAGCACTGGAATCCAAGCCCTAGGCCCATCTGCCCCGCCCGTGCTGTCCGCTGATTTCGCGAACACATCAGTTCCCCACTCTGTGTTTACCATCAGGCAGCCCTGAAGTCTAGCGATTCACCAGGAACCCAGGGGTCAGGACCTGGGTACCCATGAGCAACTGGCTCACCACAGCAGGCTCCAGGGGCTGAGGCAGGGCTCTGACACTCACGTGCCCCGAGGCACACACGTGCGAGTGCACAGAGAAACAAAAGGACACCTGCCTCCTTCCAAGTGGGCCCCAGTCTCAGGCCCTCACCGTCTGCTGTTGTGTGGGGATGCGGACACAGGCTTTCAGATCTTCTGAGATTGCAAATGAAACCTCAAAACTGAATTTGTAAGCATCCTGCTCTTTAAATGCTGGCAACTAACTTAATACACTTCCATGTGGGCTAAAAATCCCGCCATGGCCCTTAGAGTGGAGACTTCTGGACTAAGGCATCACTCCCCAGGGTTGGGCCTCACCACCTTGCTCAGAAAGGTGCTCCTGGGTGCCGTGCCAGCACCCCCCTGCACACCCTGCACACCCCCAGGCCCTCACCTGTCTCGGGGCTGCAGGGCTTCCTCTCCTGGACCCACCAGGCCCACCCAGGGAGAGAGGAGGCCAGAAGGTGGGAGATGGGCTTACCTTCAGTCTGTTCTGGTAGTCCATGATCTCGGCGCTCAGCTGGAACTTGAGGGTGTCGCGCTCCTGCTGTGCAGCCTCCTGGAGGCTCTGGGCCCGCTGCTCAGCCTGGGCCAGCTGGGCCTGCAGGCCCGACAGTGAGTCGACCGCCCCCTCGGCCGCCTTCAGCCTCTCCTGCAAGCTCCCCTTCTCCTGCTGCAGCCCCGCCACTTGGCGCTGCAGGCCCTCTCGCTCCCTTGAGGCCGCCTCTTTGGAGTCCCGCAGCTCCTGGGCGGCGCGGGCCAGCGCCCCCTCCATCCGCTCCTTCTCTGCGGTCAGCGCGCAGACCTGGATGCCGAGCTCGGCCGTGTCCGTGTTGGCACGGTGCAGCTGCTCCTGCAACTCGGCGTGCTGCAGCCGGGCTTCCTCGGAGCTGCGTTTCGCCTGGGCCAGCTCCTCCCTCTGCTGGGCCATGTCGGCCTGCTCCTTCTGCAGCAGCCCCTGCTGCTCCGCACACTGCAGCAGCTCCTGGACGTGGGCTCTGTTGAGGGCTTCGTTCTGCTCTTTCAGCTGCTGCACAAGGGTCTTGTGCTCCATCAAGACTGCCTCGGCCACACCCAGCTGGCTCTGCACCTTGTCCCGGTCATCCAGGGCTGCCCGGACCTTGGCCTGGAGGTCCACCACCTCGGCCTGCAGCCGCTGGGCCTCCCCCTGATGGACCTCCAGCTGCGTCTGACACAGGGCCAGCTGGGCTGCTAGTTCACGGGCTGCGTTGTCCTGGGGTGGGCCAAGCCCCTGCTGGCCTTTCTCCACCTTGAGGGCCTCGATCAGCTGGGTCTGCTGGTGGCACTGGCTCTCGAGAGCCCTGAGCTGCCCTGCCTGGGCCTCTGCCTGCTGCCGGCACTGCTCCACCTTCTCTTGCAGCTGCTGGCACTCACCCTCCTTGCTCTGCAAGGCGGCCTCCTTCTCTGCCACCTGGGCCTTCATGGCCTCCTTGGCTTTCCTGACAGCCAGCAGGCTCGCCTCCATCTGGTCACCCATGTGCCGGATGCTGGCCTGCTCGGCCTCCAGGGAGGCCAGGGAGCCACGGATGGCTGCCTCCCGCTGCTGCAGTGCCTGGTAATCAGCCTGCAGGGCCTGCAGCTTGCCCTCCAGGAGCTGGTTGCGCCCAAGCACGCCCTGCAGCTCCTCCTCCAGCTTGCGGTTGGCCTGCCGCAGCTCCTCCTCCCGGCCGCCCCCTCGCACCTCAGCACTGTCCAGCAGCTCCTCCTGCGGGCTCTGCTGCTCTTCGCTTTGCGTCTCACAGGCCTGGGGCAGGGTGGAGGCCAGGGAGGCTGACGCCTCGCTCTCCTCCCTGGCTGAGGGCGGCTCTGGGCCCGACTGCCCTGGGTGCCGCTCCAGCGTCCCCACCTTCTGGAGGAGGTGGTCCTTGTCCTGGATGAGCTGCTTCCGCTGTTCCTCCAGGTCGCCCACGTGCTGGCTCACCTGGCTCAGCCTGGTCTCCAGCAGCTGCAGCTGCCGGGCCAGAGACCTGGCCTCCTGCCCCAGCAGCTCCTTCTCCTCCTGGCACCGCCGCTCCTCCAGCCTCACCTCTGCGAGCTCCTTCTCCAGGGAGCTCACGTGGGCCAGAGACTCCTGCAGCCGTTGCTGGAGCTGGGCTGCCTCCCGCCCCTTCGCAGACAGCTCCTCCCGGAGCGGGGCCGCCTCTTTCACCAAGCGCTCCAGCTCAGCCCGGGCCTCCTCCTTCAGCTGCAGCTCCTGGGCGAGCTGTTCTAGCTGGGTACTCTGCTGCCTGTTGAGGTCCTGGACCTTGGCGCTCTCACCTTCTAGGGCTCGGAGCTTCTCCCCCAGCTCCTGGACTGCCAGGGCTGAGTTGCTGGGAATGGGCTCTTGCTGTTGCTTTGTGTCCTCTGCGGTACTCGCTCTCTGCTCAGCCGTGGCCAGCCAGGCTGGGACGTTGGCTAGCAGCTGGCTCCTCCGGCTCAGGGAGTTCCGTGCAGCCTCGAGCTCCCGCGCCAAGGGCTGCAGCATGGCCTCCAGCCGCTGCAGGGCCGAGTGGTAGTCCTCCTCCTTCGAGGCCGCGCTCAGCTCCAGCGCCTGCAGGCATGTCTGCAGCTCCTTCACAGTGCTCTGGGTGGCCTGGGTGGCCTCCCACTGCTTCTGGAGCTCGGCCACCAGGCCTGCGAGGTGGACGTTGTCCTCCGCTGCAGAGCACCCCTTCTCCCGCTCCGTGTGCAGCTGCTCCCCCTGCAAGCTGACGGCTGCCCGCAGCTCCTGGTTCTCCCTGTCCAGCTGCTGCACGCGCTCCTGCAGCCGCTTCTCCCGCACCTCCAGCTGGTCCAGCTCCAGTCGCATCTCATCAAAGCCCTCCTGGGCCTCGCTGTTTATGGTGCTGTTCAGATCAAAGCTGGAGGCCATCTCCTGAGTCTGGGGAGGGGCACAAACGACAATGGGTTTGGCACAAAGCTATGTGGCTACTTGGAAAAGCTTTGGAGTTAGGGAGGAACAGAGTGTGAACACAATAATTATGCTAAGGTGAGTCTAAAGAGCTATTCAATGGACTGGAACATTTCTGCTCAGAGCTTCACACGCCCGAGCTGTGAAGCCCCAGTGTGAGCCCCACTCAGATGTGGGCGCACTTCCCATCAGGCCTCTATCAGCCCTGCCCACCGACTGGATGTGGGCTCTTCAAGACAGATTCAGTTCTGTTTAAACCAGTGTTCACCTGTGGTATAGATCCACGGGCCTAGCACGACTGAACCACACAGCAGGGCAAAGGATTACTCCCCTTCTTACTTTTACTGCTCCTGACTTCTCCCATTGCTGATCAACGGTCACAAAAGCATACACTCACATTTCTAAGCAAATAAACAAGCTGCCTTTCTCTACTAACATCTGCTGAGCCCCATCGCCTAGGACAAGCCCCTAAGCACTGTGCACGGGGGCCCTCAGTGAGGAGCTAGCAGGCGTTTTATTATCCCCACCATGCAGCAAGGGCTGAGGCTCCCACAGGTTAGGTAACTTGTCACACAGGGTAGGTGACAGAGTCAGGATTTGGCTCTGTTACTTTTAACCAAAGTGCTAAGCTACTTCTTTCAAAGAAAGAAAATCTTTGAAAAGAGCTGAATTTCAAAAAGGCCTATATTCTATCTGGTGGTAAAAACTTAAGACCCCCAAAACCCATGGCTGAACCAGACTTCCCTGGCCTGAACAGCAGGTGTCTTGAGTGGCAGGGGGGGGCAAGGCCATCTCCTGTGGACAAGGGAGTCCCAGCAAGGGAGTGCCTGCCTCCCTGGTGTTACCTGCAGGTAGTTGCTCACTAAGCTGCTCATGCTGGAGCTTCGGCTGGGGGGTCTCCACATGAAGGCAGAAGAGCCAGCGGCCAGCGTCCTCCTGTGGGGCCACAGAACAGACACACTGTACTCAGAGTAGGGAACACGCACTGGTGCACACGTGCACACATGCGTGCGCGCACACACACACACACACACACAGGCCCTAATGGTCTCTCCGCAGCAAGGTGGAGGTAGGGAGCACAGTAAAGAGGTCAAACACCCAACAGTCTCCTTCCAGGACCACATCCATGCTACTCTGTGACAGATGGACGCCCCTGCTCCAGTTAAGACATCATGGTCTTCCCTGCACAGCCAAAAAAAAAAACATCAAGTACACGCATATCTCCCAACTTTTGGACTCAATCTTCCTTGAGTTTTTGGTGCCTGCCAGAGGTTGTCTGGCAATGAAGAATAAATCCAGTCAGATTGCGTTTCAGGGCTACAGCCACCGCTCTGTGTCACACGTGTGTGACGTGTGTGACGCAGCTACAGAGCTGCCTCTAGTTCACGGGATGGCCTGGGGCAGCCGTTACAGCGTGCGCAAACTCACCATCCCCACAACCCGACACCTGCATTCTCAGCACCTCCCCTAAAGACAGCTGTGCACATGCGTAAGGAGACACCAGGGGGGTGCTTCTGGCAACACTGTAAGCATGAAAATAATGGAAGGAGCCTAACTATCCCTAGGGAAACAAAGTGTGGTTTACGGACACAACAGAATACTCTCCACCAGGGGCCGGCATTCTTTGTTTTTAAAGAACCAGGGAGTAAATGTTTGGGGCTTGTGGGCTATGTGGTGTCTGCCACATGGCACGACAGCAGCTGTGGGCACCACATAATCAAACAGGTGAGGCTGTGTTCCGTACAGTCTGAGGGCAGTGGTCGACACACGCCAACTGCACACAGGCAGACCTCCATGTGCAAACTCAGACAGAAATCTCAAGACACACTGCAGAGTGAAAAAGCAAGTTGCAAAAGGATAGCGAGCACACGAGTCAAAGCATGTACATTTAAAAAATAAATGCAAAATAAAACTATCACATATTTATAGTATATGTGAAGTAAAAACAAAGACATCTGGGAATGCTATGCATCAGCTATAGGCCTGTGATTGCTTCAGTAAGCAGCGCAGGGTACAGGACGGCAGCTGGGTGGCCTTTAGCTGGACCTATATTACCTTGTTTCTTCTTAAAAAAATATCAGGGGCAAGCATTTGGCCTAGAAGTTAAGATGCCCACATCGCACATCAGAGGGTCTGAGTCTGACTCCTGCTTCCTGCTAATGCAGACCCTGTGAGGCAGTGCTGACGGCTCAGACAGTTGAAATTCCTGCCACTGATGTGGGAGACCCTAAGACTGAGTTCGGGGTCCCTGGCTTTGGCCTGGCCCAGCCCTGGTTGTTTCAAGCATTTGGGGAGTACACCAGTGGATTAAAGGTGTATGTCTATCCCTCTCTCTTTAAAAATAAAATCAACAAATAAAGTAAATACTGTAACACTTTCAGACATAGAAAAACTTCCACAAGAACTAGCTTACAGGGGCTGTTACTGGCCAAAATGAGGTAACTAAAGGTTCAAAATAAATGACAGTGAAAGAGTATAGCCCAGTGAATACAGTCAGAATCCATGAGTGAGTACTGCTACGGGCGAACACACGAAAGGAGAAGCAGCACAGATCTTTCGGGAGAATGCAACTGCTGGCGCGGCAGCACTAATGACATTAGGGAAGCACACTGATACCCAGGCTGGTGACCGATTCAGGCAGGGGTTATTAACGGGCACTCAACTAAGAGGCATGCGGTTTATGAGGAAGAGAACAGTGACACAGCTCAAAGTACCACCCCATACAATACATATTAATTACAAAGTGAGAAACGCTAACTTTAGGCGATCCTTGGCGAACACCACCTTAAACCAAGTGATCATGGGAAACAATTAAACAAACCAGCAGGCTCCAGATCCAGTGCAGCTGAGGATACAGCACCTGAGGAACTGCTGCCAAAAATGCTCAACTTGAAAGTGACGGTGAGGAACCAACGATTTACAAAATACCTGGTCTATATGCTTCAAAACGTCAGTGCTGGGGTGGGTGCTGTGGTGGAGGGGGTTAAGCCACTGCTTGGAATGCCCACACCCCACATCAGAGAGCCAGGCTGGAGTCCTGGCTCCTCTGTGCTTCTCATCCAGCGTGGGAGGCAGCAGATGATGCTGCAAGTCAAGTTCCTGCCACTCATGTGGGAGACTTGGATGGAATCTTTGGATGGTTATTGGGCATTTGGGGAGAGAACCAGTGGACAGAAGATACTGGAAGGCATCTCTCTCCATCTTTGCCTTTCAAATAAACTCTCTCTTTCCTTTTTAAGATTTATTTATTTATTTGAAAGTCAGAGTTATACAGAGAGAAGAGGCAGAGAGGGGCGGGGGGAGGTCTTCCATCCGATGGTTCACTCCCCAATTGGCCGCAACAGCTGGAGCTGCGCCAATCTGAAGCCAGGAGCCAGGAGCTTCTTCCGGGTCTCCTACATGGGTGCAGGGGCCCAAGGACTTGGGTCATCTACTGCTTTCCCAGGCCATAGCAGAGAGCTGGATCGGAAGTGCAGCAGCTGGGTCTTGAACCGGCGCCCATATGGGATGCCGGCGCTTCAAGCCAGGGTGTTAACCCACTGCGCTACAGCACCGGCCCCATCAAATAATCTTTTTTTTTCTTTATTTTGGCAGGCAGAGTTAGACAGGAGAGAGAGACAGAGAGAAAGGTCTCCCTTTTTCCGTTGGTTCACCCCCAAAGTGGCCGCTATGGCTGGCGTGTTGCGGCCAGCGCGCTGCGCCGATCTGAAGCCAGGAGCCAGGTGCTTCCTCCTGGTCTCCCATGTGGGTGCAGGGCCCAAGGACCTGGGCCATCCTCCACTGCACTCCCGGGCCACGGTAGAGAGCTGGACTGGAAGAGGAGCAGCCGGGACAGAATCCAGCACCCTGACCGGGACTAGAACCTGGGGTGCCAGCACTGCAGGTGGAGGATTAGTCTAGCGAGCTGCAGCACCGGCCTTCAAATAATCTTTTTTAAAAATGCCAGTATCAGGGCCTGTGACACTGGCATCCCATAAGGGTGCTGGTTCATGTCCTGGATGGTCCACTTCTGATCTACCTCTCTACTAATGTGCCTGGAAATGCAACAAATGATGGCCCAAGTGCTTCGGCCCTTGTTCTGGCCCAGCTCTGGTGGTTGCAGCCATTTGGGCAGTGAACCAGCAGATGGAAGATTCTCTCTCTCTCTCTCTCTCTCTCTCTCTCTCTTTCCCCTTCTCTCTGTAAGTCTATCTTTCAAATAAATAAACAATCTTTTTTTTTTTTAAAGTTAACATCATGAAAGAGAAAGACTAAAATACTGTTCTAAATTCAAGGGGACTTGAGATATGCCAAAATTTAACCACAGCGTATAATTCTAGATTAGATTTTAGATTCTAAAAGACATTATTCAGATAACTTGTGAAACCTGAATGAGGGCTGATGATCAGATAGCAGTACTGCGTCAGTGTTAATCTGATGCTAATAACCGTACTGGGTTATACAGGAGGATGTCTCTGGTTTCAGGAAACACACAATAAAGGCGAATCAAGTCTGCACTCAAACTCAAACGGCTTAGGCAAGAAAGCATCAGGAGACAGAACAAGACACCAGTGGCAGAATACTGGTGACTGGGGAATCAAGGTGAAGGCGGGATGTGTGCACTGTACTTCTATTCACAACTTTTCTCTTATTCTTAAATTATTTCAAAATTTAAAAGTTTTAAAAAGGGACATCTGGACATGACAAAATGATAGCTATGGAACCCTACATGTGCTGTGGTTGGCATATGACAATCATATGTATTCTGGACTTTTTTTCTATCATTCAAAGTACTTCTGAATTTAAAAAAATGAAATTAAAAGTCCTTATTAGCAGAAAACAAAACAACACAAAGCATGCCAGACTTGGGTGTCTGGTGCAGCAGCTAAGATGCCACTTGGGGTACCACATCCCAGGTTGGAGTGCCTGGGTTTGGGTCCCAGCTCCACTTCCCACACAGCTTCCTAACGTGTACCTTGGGAGGCAGCAGTGATGGCTCAAGTGCTTAGGCCCCTGCCAACCATGTGGGAGGCCGAGACTGAGTTCTGAGCTCTCTGCTTTGGCCTGGCCCAGCCCCAGCTGGTGCAGGAATTTGGTACGTGAACCAGCAGATGGAAGATCTCTATCTGGCTCTGGCTCTTTCTCTCTCTACTTTTCAAATATATGAAAATAAATAAGCAAAACACATTTTTCCCCAAAAGAACACTGGCCTTGAGTTTAGCCCAGGTCTGCAGCCCAACAGCTGTGTGAGCGTGGACAAGACCCTCTGCTCTCTGAGCCTGCTCACTGAGCCCCGCCCTCCTGGAGTTGGGAGTGCTGTGATGGTACGGGAGGCCATGCTGGTGGTAAGGCAACCTTGGTTGGCTGGACAGTCTCAAAACAGAAAAAAAGAAACAAAAATACAGCAACCTTCCCAGAAGTCCTCATGGGGTAAGCTGTAGTGTTCATTCCCTGCTACACTGCCTAGAAGGCCACCAGGATAACTTTGGAGGAACCACAAACGGCCCCTCCCCTACACCCACAAGGACCAACAAGTCTCTTACAACATTTTTAAACCTTGGGTCTTGCAACATATTCTCCCACTGAAGCATACCTTCCACCAATTGTTTGGTTTAGATTGGAGCCCTCAGATGTTATCTTAGTCAACATTCAAAATCTGCAAAATTCGCAGGCATGAGCTGCACAGCTTTATGTAACTGAGCAAGCAAAAACGTCAAACCTCTCTCTCCCTAACCTTCATACCGAAGTGATTCTCTAAAGTACCTGGCAAACGTTGGCCACGCAGCATCCAAGTCGTAGCCTCTCGATGCTAGGTCAAACTGAACCTCGGTCAGCTCATAGAGTTGGCCCACAATGTCTGAGCTCAGCTTTGGCTTCAGAAAGGGGCTTCTTGCATAGTACCAGTCACTGCAGAAAAACATAAAATGTGTCAACCACAAAAGTAATAAAGAATGAATCTAATCATTCAGGCTGCTAAGTTAATTAAAGACACACACACACCCACACACAGGCCAACTGATTTCATTTTCACTGTAGGAGCACTTAACTCTCAAATAAGCTTGCTCTTTTCCAAAGACATTAATGCAATGATCTGGGTGCTTATTCATTTATGTCATGTTTATTTCCCACGAAGATGGTAAGAAATCTTAAATATCCTTCACTTGCCAAGAAAGGGCAAGAGCAGGGGAAAGCAATCTTCCTTCTTGAAACATAAACTCATTTTGTGTTCCTTTTCCAGAACTCAGTATGGGACACTGGCCTCGCTGCTAATTTCCGTCCAGATGCCAATTTAGAAACCAAGGACCACGCTACCTGTGCAGCAACACTTCCTGCACTGTGAGGGATGGTCGTTCTACCCCGCGTGAAGCAACAAGAACTCACAGAGGCAGCAGTGATGCACTGAAACAGCCCCTGGGCTGACGGCCCTGAGCTGGGGTGAAGGGGTGGAGTCAGCTATGCCCACAGCCCCTGGGCTGACATGTGAGCTGGGATGGAGTCAGCTGTGCCCACAGCAGAAGCATCTTCACACGAACTACACAAACACCAGCGCACACCAGTGCCCAAGGCCTGTCACGGGCCCAAACAACACAGTCTGCTTTTTTTAATTCAGAGGGGGCTTCTTTGATTAGACTTGTGGGGCGGGGACTGTCCAGCCTGTGAAATCAGATGGTCTGGCCCTGCCAAGGCAACACTGGTGGGACCCGGAATCAGTAAACCTACAGCAGGCTAATTTTTAAGTTGGTCACAAATGATGTTACAAATATCCAAATGGCCCTTGGTAGCCAAAAGGTTGCCCACCCACCTGACAGCACTCCCTAGCAAGGCAGGGAGGCAAACCAGGTTAAAGGAACTACCCAACCCAAAGGGTCCAACTGCCGGGTACCTGGTGTGCAGCTCCTTATCTGACACACATTTCCACTTTACACTCTCAAGCCTTGCCAACACCGCAGCACCAACAGCGCAAAGCTGGACCAGGTAGACAACCCTGACCATGCAGCGGCACCTGGTTCATCCTGGCAGCCCATCACATTCCAGGAGCCCAGACACCCGGCAGAGGATGGCTCGGCTGTGTCAGGCTCGGACCCAGGTTCAGTGCTGTTAAAGACCCTATACGTGGGCCTGGTGCTGTGGCGTGGCGGGTAAAGCCACTGCCTGCAGTGCCGGCATCCCTCATGGGCGCCGGTTCAAGTCCCGGCTGCTCCACTTCCAATCCAGCGCTCTGCTATGGCTCTCCCTGAATCTGCATGGGAGACCTGGAAGAAGCTCCTGGCTCCTGGCTTCAGATCAGCACAGCTCCGGCTGCTGCGGCCAATTGGGGAGTAAACCAGTGGATGGAAGACCTCTCTCTCTGTGCCTCTCCTTCTCTCTCTGAGTAACTCTGACTTTCAAATAAATAAATATTAAAGAAAAAAAAAAAAGACCCTATCGGCAATTCTGCTGAGAGGCCCTGAGCACTGGCACCAAGGACCCGCCATCCACCAGGGACAACTGCCTGTCATCAGGAGCTGGAGAGCTTCCCATCCAGCATGAGCAGGGCCTGCAGCCTCCGTGCTACCTGCCCCACATGTCAAGGGCTGTGGCAAGAAGCTTAAGACACACACGGGCACTGCCATTGTGACTATGGCTGTTGAGGAGGGATGTCAGGTGGCTGCTTGGTGGCCCAGGGCTCCACCCTGGCACAGGCCTGTATTTACCTGGTCACTTTGGTGTTCATGAAGCACTGCTGTAAGGTGTCCGCCAGCCTCTGGTGCACCAAGGAATAGCGAATAAATGCTCTTCCCTTCCCCAGAGATGTTCGGAGCTGGAAAGAGCAAATGACACAGAGATGAAGCGCTGTCAGCCAAGTGCCCAAGCAGACCCTGCCTGGTGGCGGCCCGCAGAGAACAGCTGCAAGGCAGAACTTGTCCCCTGTTCTACCTGGGGTGACATCGGCTTCCCTCGTGTCACCCCAGGGACGCAAGGCATCTGACTAACGCCACTCCACAGAGTGTGACCAGAAGTGAGGGGTGGGATTGCCCCACCCAAGGGTAAGCTGCAGGCCCTGCAGAGGTGGTAAGGCAGGTACACTACAGAGAGGCTCGCAGACATCACGGGGGCTGCGGGGTGCCTTCTCCCCGTTCTGCTCCTGTGGCATCAGGTCTGCGACTCCTCGGTGGAGGGAGGGAAGGGCTTCTGACTCTAGAGCTGAGCTGCAGGAGCAGCCGCTGGTGCTTGGCCAGTGCTGGGCTTGTCTTTACGGTGTTGCAGAACAGAGGAAGAGCCTGGGGTGTAAGTTTTGCTGGATGTGTAAGGGCCTCCTCTGTGGCCCCACAAAACCACCAGGAAACTCCTGGCCTTCCTGATTGGGCTGGTTTCTCTTCAGCTACGCCAACTGACTGCATTAGTCACAAGGCATCGGGGGAGTGAGAGCAGGAGCGTCCTTCGGTGGCCCAGTCATGCTGGCGTAGTGCTAAGATGGAGATGGGGCTGCTTGAGAAGTCTGGGTGGAGGGCACAGGTTCACTCCCGTCTTCCAGATCTCTCCCTGCTGCCTGGAACTACAACACCAATTCAGAGGAAGGAGGTGTGACTGGAACTGTCTAAAGGCTTCAATTCAACACTCACAGGAGTGAGTGGTTTGAAGGGAGGCTCCTGGAAGCTTGCTGTGATGGAGATGGGGCAAGCTGGTCAGAGACTCCGTTGTTTATCTCCCAGAGCAGAGCTCAGCCAGCGGGGGGCACCTGGTGGCCAAAGTGGAAGAACCAAAAGGGACAGCCCAGAAGATATCCGCATGCACCTGTTCTATCAGGCGGTGGCTCTGAGTGGGGTGAGCCACAACCAACTCCCTTTCTACCCTCTCAAGGGCCAGAAATGGTTAACACATGCTCATGCAGCAGGGGAAGGGGTGACAGCCTTTTGACCCATAGATAGGCTTAAATCTCCATACTGTTAAGGTTCCAATTATGAGGGCTGGCATTGTGGCGTAACTGATTAAGCTGCAGCCTGTGATGCCGGCATCCGATATGGGCACCAGTTCGATTCCTGGCTGCTCCACTTCCGATCCAGCTCCCTGCTAATGGTCTAAGAAAGCAGTGGAAGGTGGCCCAAGCCCTTGGGCTACTGTACCCATGTGGGAGACCTGGAAGAAGCTTCTGGCTCCTGGCTTTTGCCTGGTCCAGCCCCAGCTGTTGTGGCTATCTGGGGAGTGAACCAGCAAATGGAAGATTTCTGTCTTTCCCTCTCTAATTCCGCCCTTTGAATAAATAAAAATCTTTAACGATTCCAATTATGGCACTAGATTAACACAGGAAACCTATGGCACAGGCTCAAGCATTGGCACCTCAGTGAGGACATAAACCTCCCAGCACACAGCACCTGTGGCCCAGGGCGACAGGCCTTCTTACTGCTGACTCAAGGAAATGCTACCATAATATGAAGTGGTTTTGAAAAACAAAAAGGTGTAAAACCTCGTGGGCCACAGAATATATAACACATTTCTTCCTGTGACTTCTGGGGGTTTTGATCTTGGCCAAAACCCAAGAGGGGAAGTTTGGTGACAGCCCTATGTCCAGATATTTTTCCACTGATGAGTGAGGTGAGAAGGTGCTCAGTGGTGATAACCAGGAAATTCATCAGCAAGACATGGTGAAGGGAAGTGTGCCCATCACACACACACACACACACACGGGCTCTGCCACAGTCAATGAGACCTTCACATCTCTGGCCATGTCTGTAAGTTCCCTAAGCAGGAGCTCGTCCCTATTCTTAGCAAACTGGCCATTGTAACAGTCTTGAGAACATTAACATTTTTTAATGGTAAACATTAGAGGCTCTATTTTTAATCATATCTATTAATGGAACAGATTATAAATAAAGGGAGCTATTTACTTTAAAAGATATTTTTAAAAGTCTCTCTGTCAAGGGAACATTTCCTTTATGCTGCAAATGAAAACACTGCACAGCCCTTGGATTTGGGTCTGCTTTCATTACCTAATTCCTCAATGCTTTTAGTACCTACTTAGAACTCCAGTACATGAGACTGAGAAGTAATACTACGGCAGCAAAGGACAGGAAGCCAGGCCTCTGAGCCACACGCCTCGTGCCAGCTAACCCTATTTGTCATGCTGAAGCAGAGTCCATGCTGAACCTCTGGAAATGTCTTATTAGACCTTTTGCCTACTTCAGCCAGAACGGCTGCCTCCCACCCTAACGGAGCCTGCAGGGTCCAAAAATGCTTCCTATCCATTGACTTTCCCCTCCAACATGAGGACGTGGGAGACGCTAGATTACTGACACTAACCTGGATCCAGCAGCCCAGCGATGTCCCAAACCTCTCTAAACAATGGCACCCCAGGGAGCTGAGTCTGCAACAGAGCCAGAAGCATGGATCCCACAGGAAGCAGAGCCTCTGAGACCCTCCACAGAACCAATGTCTGCTCAAGCAAGGGGTGCTTCCCGCCTCCATTCCCACGGCCTTGAACTGTCCAAAGGCCTGACTGCAGTAGAAAGAGGGGGAGCCAGCCAATAAGCAGATGTGTTTCAGCAAGCCTTCACAACCCCAGGGAACTCAGCTCCAGACTTCCAGCTGCCCCGAGTCACCAAGTCCAAGGTTTGAGCTGTCAGATGCCAAGGCTGAGAAGTGAGACTTAGAGGATCGAGGGTCATGCCGTCCACGGGGACGTCTACGGGGAGGGGTGGCAGTAACAGCCTATCCAGGGCACGGATGCATCGAACACTGCTCCACATCTGAGCGTCCCACCAGGCCAGACCACACAGGACCTATCCACAAGACGTTGAGTCTCCAATATGGAAGCAACCCTGCAGAAGCACGGTCTCTCCCAGTTTGCTCAGATCTTGCAGGGTGTAGCTCATGGAAAAGGCCCCGTGCTTGATGTCACTAAATTTCAAACTGTCATACTCCATAAGGAGAGACACACGGGCTCCCGCCGGCATGGCTGGGGAGGCGCTCTTCCCAGAACATCTGATGCCACAGCCTTTGTGTGAGGCCAGCCAAGGAGCATGCATGTCCATTTCAAAGTGACCTCACACTACTGAAGAGACACTGCAAAGACAGACGAAGCCCACAAGCCCTTTGGAGCCCCCGCCCTGCGTTAGCAGGCTGACATACCCCTGAATGTGCTAAGTCCTTCGCTTCTGGATGGACTATGCGGAGAAGACAGAGACTTACTGGGGCCAGGGGAAGAAGAGACAGTGTGTGTTTGCACGTGCACGTGCCCGGGTAACTGCTGTTTTGTACACCAGCGAGGCCACAGCATCTTTTTCTTTCTTTTCTTTTTTTTTTTTTTTTTTAGCACATTGGCATTTGAAGAAATGTCCCTGGAGAATCCACGCTGCCTTTCATTTCCAAGTTTCCTGGGCAAATCATCGGGATTGTAGACTAGCAAACACTTAAGAATTTCATCTCAGAAAATGGATTTTTAAGAAAGAGGTGTCCTGTCCTATATACCCACAAGGGGCGTGGCGAGCACAGACTCCAGTGTGAGTGGCTGCCCTGGGAGGTAGTGCGAGGGCCCGGCTGTAACGTCTGCTCCAGGCCAGGAATTCCTCAGCCTGCTAAACACCCAGGCGGTGCCACTGAGTTAGAGCCGCAGCAACAGCAGGTGCCAAGCACACAGGGCCTGGATCTTTCTCTGCCATCTAAAGCACCCACGTCCTCACTGCTACCTGCACCAGGGTCTCTGCTGCAGCCACTACAGGCAGGCGGAGGAGAACACGAGGGCCCTGGCCGCTCCCTCCCCCGCCACTCACCTCTGAGATGGACTTGACGAATCGGATCCCGTCATTGGCTCCTTTCACCTTGGCCAGGCAGGCGCAGAAGTAGTCCCAGTAGTCCTTCTTGCTGCCCAGGAGGGTGGCCTTCTCTTTCTGATCAAACTGAGAGCAGAAAGGGACAGAGAGGAGAGCTGCAAGCCCGCTGCCTTTAATCCCACCTCTTAAATGATAAGCGTTATCAACAGCTTCTTAGGTGCTGGCACTGAGTGAGGCTAAAACTACTGGCGTTGTTTTTATTTATGGACAAATCACGGTATATTCATCTCCAAATGAGACTGTTTTAATTCCCAATTTATGAGTGAGGAAACAGGCTAGCAGAGGTTAAGTAACCGGCTCAAGGTCATAACAGTAGTGAGATTTGGGAATAACAGCTGCCCAAAAAGCTTTTGCCCTTGAAGGGACTCTGCACGGGGCTGGGTAGAAGTGGAAGACCACTGAAGTTGCTACCAACGCATGATGAAAGAACGCAAGGGAAGAAGAGTCTTGGGGCAACACGAAGAACGTTACTTACTCCCCAACTCAGGGAATGAGGCCGTGACGCTTCATCCCTGTTAAGTAACTCCTTTTACAAAATCAACCTATTTTTGTTTATTTGAAAGTCAGCGAGACAGAGGGAGACAGACAGAGAGAGAATTCTCCCATCTGTTGGTTCATTCTCCAAGTGCCTATCATAGCCAGGACTGGGCCAGGCCAGAGCCAGGAGCCAGGAATGCAACCCAGGTCCCCCATGTGAGTGGCAGGGACCCAAGTACTTGAGCCATCGTTGTTGCCTCCCAGGGTGTGCCCCAGCAGGAAGCTGGGAAGGACAGTGCCTGCCCACCAGTTACTCAACTCCTGTTTCACTACTGTCCTAGGGTGCATACAACAAATTCAAATATGTGTCAGCACTGAGTCATATCAAATCCAAAACCGAAATGGGAGTAACTGGAAAAAACCCACAAAGGTTTATAAACATTCCTGCAACGTTAAAGAATCAGCTGGGAGGCACAGGAAGTCGCGCCCTCCACCATGCTTTCCTGTGGCGGGCTCTCCTCCCGTGTGGGATGTGTAAATCGGCGTTGAAGACGACACAGGCATACTGGTGCACACATGTCTACTGCAACATTCCACGGCACCTTTTCCTGGTTATAGAAGCAAAATCTACACGCACTGCTAGAAATGCTTGATCAGAAAAGAAAGGGAGGGGGGAAGAAAACAAATGCAATGCCTAATACCACCAGCCTAAAACAGCTTTTGGTCCATTTCCTTCCTGCCCATCTAAGCTGTCTGTGTTTTTCCACATCTAAAGAGTCCTCTAGACCAGTGCCTGTTGAACTAAGCAGGCCTAAGAGTCACACCACGAGTATGCTAAGAGCTACTTCCCCGGGCTGGCCCGGAGACCCTGACTCCACAGGCCAAGGAGGGAGCAAGGAACAGACTGACACTTCTCTCCCTGTGATGCTGGCGCTGCTGGCCTCGGACACACTGTGAGCAGCAGGGCTCTACCCCAGGTGCCTCTGGGCAGCCTTCAGAGGGCGCGCACACTCTCACCTGCCAAAATGCAGGAGCGGGCGAGTCCCCGGGAGCAGGTCTACTTGGGGAGAGATGCCACAGCTCCCACACAACTCACAGAGGGCTGTGTAACTGCACAACAATAGGACCCCTGCTTTCCAGTGACCTAACTCTCCACTGAGAACATTCTCTCAGCTTCTACCTCCATCCTAGGGGGCAACCCCCTGACTCCCCAGAGAGTCACACTTGGGGGACTGAGGTCGTGCCGGGGACTGCCTGACCTTCAGTCTAACCACGACAGCCTAACAGCTCCCACAGGTTTCTGAACCATATCCTGGAGGCTGATGAGTCACCCAAGGGGAAAACAAGAGACAACAGTGCACAAAGTGGCCGTGACGGGCATCACTTACTTGCAGGAGATACTCGAGTTTATAGGAGAACTTGTGCAAGCTGCTGCTGTCATCTGTGATAGGCTCCCCTGCTTCCCTAAATTCACTGCTGAGCTCTGTCACAGCATCTGCAAGACAACACACAGGAACACATGTCCAGGCAGAGGCTGTGTGAAGACCGAGAAGCAGGACAGTCCCAGGAAGCAGGAGGAAGGAGTGATGGAAACGCACGGTCAGTTCCACTCTAAGCTGGAGCATGTCAGAGCACCCCTAGACCACACAGACACCTGACCACAGGCCTGCTGACGGGTGTATGTCTTCTTCCTGCCTGCCTGCCCATCACCATACTGCACGAACCGTGTGCATGTAGCAGTGCCCATCACCATACTGCACGAACCGTGTGCATGCAGCAGCTGGTCAGCGAATGCTTGCTGTGTGGACGCATCACTCAGCTCCTTAACACTGACATCCAGAAAACCGTATCCTTTATCTGGGCAGTGTTTTGTATTCCTCACTGTGTGTTGCTGTAACAAAATGCCTGAGGCTACGTACTTTACAAAATAAAGAGGTTGGTTTAGGTCACAGTTTGGGAGGCTGAAAGTCCAACACTGGGCAGTTCCATCTAGTTGGGCTCTGGTAAGGGCCTTCTAGGCTGCTTTATAGCACAGCAGAAGGGGCCAGCCCTGTTTTTTCTTTTCAAAAAAACTAATTAATTAATTTCACTTTATTAAAAAGTCAGAGAGATGCAGCGAGAGACAGAGAGAGATATTCTGCTCACAGGTCCCCTTCCCAAAAAGCCTGCCAACAGCTGGGGCTGGGCCAGGCCAAACCAGGCACCCAGAGCTCCATCTGGGGTCCCCACATGAGTGGAAGGGACCCAACTATCTGAGCCATCACCTGCCGCCTCCCAGGGTGTGCAAGGGCAGGAAGCTGGATCAGAAGCAGAAGAGCTAGGACTTGAACCCAGGCACTCTGATACATGATCTAGGTGTCCCAAGTCAGGACTTAACTGCTGTGCCAAACGCCCACCCCAGCCTCATTCTTTTATAACAGAGTGCTCTCTCCAGAGCTAGTCTTCTCCTGTGAGACCCAACATGATCTGTGGGGGCAGCATCAATTCCTTGTCAGGGTGGTCGTGACCCAATCATCTTCCAAGAAGCTCCACTGCTTAAAGCTCCCAATCCCTTTCAGTATGGTTACCATGGAGACCACACTTTCAGCACAAGGATGTCTGGGAGACGGCGCACAGCCAGATCACACACAGCCTTCACGGTAGCCCCACGGCTTAGTCCAGGCAACTGCAGGCTTCATGAACTGTGTGCAAAGGACAGCGATGGTAACAAAGAGGCCAGCAGTGTCAACAGAACTTGCTTCTGTTTATCGAGGGCTCGTGCAGAGCCAGGCGTGCATGGTACTCCTCAGTGGACACTGCACCACTGAGGCAGGACTGCCTCATGTCAACACATCTAAGATGTGACTGATTGAAAGATGTACCCCAACTTCAGGGCCTGAGCTGTTCAAATGTGAAATAAGTGGGTGCGCGACTTAGAATCTATGAAGCCTGGCGTCGTTACCCCCATTTTACAGATGAGGAAGGTACGGGGATCCAGGCACTTGGGCAAAGACCAGGGTTGGCAAACAGCAGAGCTGGCACAAGAACCTTGGTTTTCTCGAGGGATTTCTCACTCCAGAGCCTCCTCTTATCGCCTGGGATAATTCACCTGCACAGAAAAGGACAGAGCCCCTGGGACGGCCACTCCGCCTCTGCCGCGTCTTAGATGCTGGACTGGGTTTGGATCCTGGGAAGCACTTGCCCAGCTGAGAGGGCTGGGCTACGCTGCACACAAGCGTCTTCTTCCTTGACAATTCTGGAGAGAAAAGGAGCCCCAGGCCTCTGCTCCCAGCTTGGTTTGAAACAAACCTGCTCACACTGAGCCTGCGCCGGCTGAAAACTCAGCACAGACCCCTCAGGCTACATCAGCCAATGGCAAAGACAGGCTTGTGGGACGAACTGCTACTTGATGTGCCCATGGGTGCAGCTGCTGGGGCTGGCACTGGGCCGGGAGCCAGGGGCCCCTCCTCCGCACCTGACCTGGCTGTGCACCAGGAAACTTTCAGCTCCTGGACGACACAGATGCACGACTTTGAGTCGTATCAGGATTGCACATGTGATTCTCGACAATCCTGAGAACCGGGCGCCGTCATCAAGCCCTCCCGGCACAAGAAGGAAGACACCGTGCATTGGGAAAGTCAAGGGACTCGGGCCTGGCGTTGTGGTGCAGAGGGTTAAGCTGCTGCTTGCAATACCCACATTCCCCATCAGGGTGCGGGTCTGCTTGTGATCTAGCTTCCTGCTAAGGCAGCTAGGAAGGCAGTGCAGGATGGCCCAGGGGGTTGTGCCCCTGCCACCCACGTGGGAGACCTGGATAACAGGGTCTGGCTTCAGTCTGGCCCAGACCTGGATGTCGTGGGCATCTGGGTAGTGAATTAATGGATGGAAGTTTTCTCTCTGTCTCTCCCTCTCTCACTGCCACTGTCTTTCAAATACACACATAAATCTTAAGAAGCAGAAGTGGAGGGACTTGTCCAATTGTTTTCCGGGTTAAAAGTGGAGCCAGGAGCTGAGTCCACAGCCGCTTGACTTCAAAGCCCTTGTAACCACCATCACCAGAGGAAGTGGGCTGCCCTGCCGAGGTGCAGGACACACGCTCCGCATTTGTATGTGTGCTAAGACTTTTACCGACAGACACAGGTGGGGACTTGAGAGAGCGGCTCCCTTTAAGAAGCCCCACCAAAGTGCTCTGCGGGCTGCATAGGATGCTGAGACCCATGCAAGATGCTGGGGATGACCTGACTCACAGAGGACATGGCGCAGGCAGTGGTCTGGACCTGTGCTCCACCTGAACGTCCTCTTTCTCTCTCCTCCCTCCCAGGAAGGACTCCGGATCCCAACGTTATCCTTGAGCACCAAAGACGGAGACACAGAAAAACTCCCATTTGCAGGAACCATCATTTTCCTCTCTCTCCCTCTCTCATTAAAAGAAAAAAGCATCAACGTCTTAGCTGAAAACACACCAGCACCAGGCTGCTGGTACGCAAACCGGGGTTCTGCTCCTGCCTGGCCGTGCAACCTTAGGTAAGTTACTTAACCTCTCTGTGCAAAGTGGGAACAACAGTGGCACCTATCTCACGGGACCAAACGTGAGGACTCAATGAGTTACTACCGGTAAGACATGGGTAGGACAGTGCCTGGTGTACACGAAATGCCGGGTCATCATTAGCGAGCGTAGACCAGCACATGATACACGGGTGACAGCATGCCTGCCGAGGTGACCTGTGGCCTGTCCACCGTGGACCTTCACAATGAGGACTGGGGGCTGCACTGTGGCCGCACAAGGGACGAGCACTGCTCGCTGTGTGCAGGCCGAGCAGTTAGGAACCTGGGCCTTCAGGAAGGGGTCACCTGAACGTTGTGGCAAGGAGGAAGTGGCCAGGGTAGACCAGCCCTGGTGATGGATGGGGTGGAAAACATGCCAAAATTCTGACTGTGGGAGGTCATGAAACTTGGGATTAGCAGCCGGCAGGGAAGGCAGTCTGCCCCTACCCCACCCCGAGTCTGTCACACTCCATCTGCCTCTTCTGCTGTCTGGTCTTTCTCCCCCAGGACAGGGGCCCAAGTCCCCGCCTCTCCCCCTGGGCAATGTCATGCTCAGAGAACTTGGAGAGGTGGCAGGCCCAGAACTGGAGTGCATCATGGGCAATGGGCCACCCGCCATCCAGGGCCAAGTGGAAGCAAAACAAGGCAGATGAGGACATGGCCTTCCTGCTCAGGAGGACAGAAGCTACTGGCCCAGGGAAGCCACCTTTATCAGGGCCCAGAGGCTTGTGACTGAGCCAGACACTTAAGAGGCAGGTTGAAAACACTCACCACACACATGCACATGCACGCACTCACCCACACACATGCACACACACGCACTCACCCACACACACGCACACACCCACCTCACGCACATGCACACACTCACCCATAGGCATGCACATGTACACACTCACCAACACACACACATGCACACGTACACCTCACCTACACACATACACTCACCCACACACGTGCACATGCACACACAGGCTGAAATCTGATCCAGTCCAGAGACGCATATCTGATTCTGTTTACAAATGGCTTGACTGCACTCTGAAACAAGAAGCAGCCGTGCTCACCCAGCCCCACACCAGGTGGATATCTGAGCCCCAAATATTTCATGTGCTGCGTCCCGAGGGCTCCAATTACTCCCCGGGTGAGCGAAGACAAAAGGGCCGCATGTCGGCTGATGCCAGCAGGAGCACGGCCACAGGGAGAACCGCCCAGCCGCCTCCCGCACCTTGCAGGTCGCGGATGATCCTCTGGAGCTGGCTCTCTGCGCTGGAGGAAGCCATGGTGAGTCCGCTCTCCTCTGCGCTGTGCCTCCCTCCTGTCTGGGTTCAGAGAAATGCCTGGAACTTCGGTCCTCTGTGGCTGTGTGGTCAGCAGCGGTCAGACTCCATGGTGGCACCTGCGTGGGAGAAGAGGCCAGGGAGGCCCAGCAGAGACACAGTTTAGTCGGTGCTGGAACTGTGCGCTGGGCACAAGGGAGCCCGCCTGGGTGTCTTCCCTCGATCTTTCTGAGCAGGCCTTCCTCTGCGGGCACTCTCCGTCTGCCTCGGTTACAAATGCATACAGACACACATACTCACACTCCAATCACACACTCACACCCAGAACTCTAGCCTGGCTTGGGGCTTCACGAGACAAGATCAGCCTGAAAGCACAAATTCTGCCACAGCCCCCTCCTGTTCCGCGGCTCTGACGGAACTGCCTCACTTCCATCCTTAGAGAAACCTCCCGTGGCTCCTTCTGCCCCTCACACTAGACCTAGCCTGCCAGATGTGAGTCTCCCACAGACCCCATCTTGCCCACATGACCCTCCCACCCAACTTCCCCAATGACCTCTGAGCCAGCAGTGCTACAGGGCCAAAAGCCAAGGACACATACCCTCACGGCTTCTAAACCAAGGACAGCCGGGCTTGCTGGCAGAGGGAGCAGCCCCTGGTTTTTAGCTGCCCAGAGTCTGCCTCAGCCTGAGGGTATAGACGCCTCATGGCCTGCCACCCAGGGGCCTGTGCCACCCTCATACCAATCAAGGGACAAGCATCTATTTTAAGCTCAGTTACAATCCACTCCCGCTGAGTGAGTCCCAAGTTACCAGCCCCTTGGGCAGCTGCTGGCGTGATTTAAGGACACAGAGATGGCTAAAGACCCAGAGAGGTGAGGAGCTGTGAGCACCGGGGGAAGTGGTCTGGGCCTGCACTTGGACACTCCTTGTCCTCCCGGGACCTCTGCTTCCTCCCTTAGCCGCCCACTGCCAGGCTGTGGTGGCTGCTGGAGAAAGCAGGTGGCCAGATGGGACGGCTGCAGGAAGAGCAAAACAGGGCCTGCGTGCGCCAGGCCCGCTCCGTGCTCTTGCCACACTCACGCACTGGGGTGGACAGCATCATCCCCGGATACAGAGGAGAACATGACGTTCAGAGCAGTCACCTAAGGTGTCCAAGGCCACGGGCCAGGAGCATAACTGCAGCTTCGACCCTGGACAGCCTCGTTTCAAACCTGGCGGCTTTCCCAGCTCATCCAGTTGACCTTTCGGGCCAAGCTGTCATCACTACAGTGAATGACCAACCACTCCCACTGGCTCTCAGGAACCACCCTGAACACCAGAGCCACGCTGAGAGTGTCCACCTCTCACTCTCCCACTGCCTTCTTCCTCTTCCTGCACCAGGCGTCAGGGCAGGGCGCTGCTGGCATGGAAACTGTCCCGCCCACAAGCTCCTCAGATGCTGACACGGGCATTCCAGCGTCTGCAGCAGGCGCAGAGGGCCTGTCATGGCGTGGATGCCAAGCGCCTATTTTTAACCAGCACACCAGTGTCGCTGTGACTCAGTGAAAACAGGGCCCAAAGCAGCTGCTGCTGCCTGGGAGGGAAGACATAGCCAGGCACATAGCAGAGCCACAGGTCTGGCAACTTGTGACACTGATGCCCAGGAGTGGCGATCTGGGGTCCACAGAGAACCTCTCAAAGCCCCTGAACACACGCTGGCGCCTGCCTCTCGAGGACACCAGACTGGGGGCGGGAGTGGTTTACAAGAAGTCTGCCTGCCAATCCCTGGCTGTCCCTCCAGGTCACCTGCTGAACAAAGACTCGGCAGGGAGCAGCCAGGCCCAGAGCAAGCCAGAAAGAACCCAGGCTGACACAGGCATTCCATACTTTGTCAGGTGCCCGCTACGTGCAGGCTGGGGGCACAGACGCTCTCAAGGCACAGGCCAGCCCTGGCGGAGCTCAGCTGTCCACGGGCAGACACCAGGTGGGGGGAAGGGCGCTGCTCTCCCTGCGCTCCCCTCCCGGGGCTGCTGGCGCTTCTGGGAGAAGCCATCTTGCAGGAAGATGCCTGGACTAATACAAGTCGTCACTGGAAGCCGCTGGGGCCTCAGCTGAGGGCGTGAGACACACACGCAGGAGAGGGTGGGGCTGGGGAGGGGAGCAGCAGAAGGGAAGATTCTGAGCAGCTCACCCAGGCTGCGGCCAGACGATGCATGAACTACACAGCGGCCGGCTTTCCCGGAAGCCAGGCTGTCTGGAGTCGGGCACGAGGGAAGACACGCGCACGGCCCAAGTACTCTGCCGGCGCCATGAGCCTGAGCAGAGGCAGAAGTGGGCTCCTTTAAGACTCGGGTGCTTTGGTGGCAACGACCCTGTTCCAGCCTTCTCGCTGTGACCTTCACAGTGTGATTAGCTGGGGTCAAGTTCACAGGTCATGATGTGAGCTTTTCCGGGCCACTGATTACACAAGCTGATTTTCCTAAGTGCCTGTGTCACCACCAAGGCCATGAGCCCTAAGAAATGACTGCCAGACCTGCGGCTATGGCCTGCTCCCCGCCAAGTTCTGGGTCACAACTTCACAGGGACTCACACAGTCACCTTGGGGTTGCTATCTTCATGGATTCTCAGCCACCTGCCCTCCCTCCTCCGCTAGAGCTGCAGTCATTTCTAGCCTAGGAATGGCACAGAACGGGGCACTATCTCACTCCAGGCGGCGGTCAACTTCCCTGCGTCTCCAGATAAGCTTGACTTTCAGTTGAAGCACCACAGACTTGCGGCAAGAACCAGCCCGATCCGGATACAACAACCCAGCAGCAGACTGCTCTCCTGACACAGGACTTGTGCACACTGCAGGAGGACCCCACGACTCCACCCCTCGCCAGGCCCCCAAGGCGCACTCCACCTCCATGAACGCAGGGTCCCAGCTGAACGAGCTGCCGAAGCCTCCCCCACTGTCCCTGGCAAGCTCTTTCAAATATCAGCTCGTTCACTGCACTGAATCCTTAGGAACATTCGGTTTTCTTGCCACCAACTCAAGATTATGTTTAAGGCTACCCAAAATGTCTCAAAACATGCATTCTCCCGACAAAGACGTGAAGACACTGAATGCAATTTGTAGAATTCTTTTTTTTTTTTTTTTTTTTTTTTTTTTTTTTTTGACAGGCAGAGTGGACAGAGAGAGAGAGAGACAGAGAGAAAGGTCTTCCTTTGCCGTTGGTTCACCCTCCAATGGCCGCCGCGGCCAGCACGCTGCGGCCGGTGCACCGCGCTGATCCGATGGCAGGAGCCAGGAGCCAGGTGCTTTTCCTGGTCTCCCATGGGGTGCAGGGCCCAAGCACCTGGGCCATCCTCCACTGCACTCCCTGGCCACTGCAGAGGGCTGGCCTGGAAGAGGGGCAACCGGGACAGAATCCGGCGCCCCGACCGGGACTAGAACCCGGTGTGCCGGCGCCGCTAGGCGGAGGATTAGCCTAGTGAGCCGCGGCGCCGGCCGCAATTTGTAGAATTCTTATTTATTACCCGGGACCAGCGCCTGGATTCTCATAGCCTGGGTATTACTTTAGAGTTGAAGGACCCTCCCTGACTGCAGACTCCTCCCACACCTGCCCAGAGGCCTTCAGTCCTAAATACAAAGGCACCCACTGACTCAAGGGAACTCATTTACACTATGGTGCAACTGACTAATGTCCATAATGTGGCCCGGAGACTGGCTCAGGCAGGGGCACTACAGCGTCTACACAGCTGGAGAGGGAAAGAAAGATCAGAAGGAGCACAAGAGGTTGGCGCCATGGAAGTCGGTCTTGCCATGCCTTCAAAGCTGCTGCCACACGACAGCTAAGAATTGACCAGAGAGGCCATCCTCCAGCTGGACTCCTTCCCAGTCTCAACCAGGTGGAACACACCTGTCGTAAATTCTACCCTGGCCAAGACAGCCTGTCAACAACAAGGGCAATTAAGTCCACTCCCTCAGCCTGGCTTCACACAGACACCACCACCCGTCTAGTTACCACCTGCGGTACCTGCTCTCTGAGGGCCGGAAGTCCTGCTGGCACTGGCGCCGGTGCCGACGGGGCTGGTGGGCAGGCAGAATGCCCTCACCGGGGCTTCACCAGGGTGGCCAGGAGAGTGCTCAGGAGTTTACCAGAAGCCAGCTCACGGGCTGGCACGTGAGGTGACTCAGCCCCGTGGACCTGTCATTAAAGTGTCCACCCACTGCGTGCCTGGGTCATCCTTCCCAAACACGCCTTTTTGCTGGTGACCTCTTCTCTTTCTTAGAGGGAATGAGGCCTTGGGACTTTGCCATCACTTCTCAAACTCTCTCTTGGCCCCCTTCCCACCCCAAACAGCACGTTCCTCAGTGACTCCCCTAGAACACACACAAAAATAGCCTGGATTCCTGGGAGCCAGGAGGGCAGCGAGAGGGCCACGTGTGTGTGAGGGGTTGCTCTGGGCCTGGGAGCAGCTGTCTTTTTTTTAGGAAGGTGTGTGGCTGCTCCAGGACAGGAGCCACCTGTCTGTGCTCAGGGCTGCGGGGCTGAGGTCCCACCACTGGACAGCCTGGAGGAAGCATCCGGAAGTGGCAATGGCAGAGGTGAAAATCTTGGCACACTCCCGGCCATGTCAAGAGGGCCAGGCCGGCCAAGGAGGAATCAGAACCGAATGTGACAGAAGATGACAAAGCTACTGGACATGGCTTGGAGGAAGCTGCACATAACCTCCTGCGCTCACACACTGCCGGCCAGGCAAGAGGGGTTTTGTGGGCATCACTATGAACGGCCAGGCCTGATCCAGGGCTGGGGCTACAGCTGTCAATCAGAGCGTGGGTGGAGCCCTGGCCTTTAAGGAGCCCATGCCCAGGGGCAGAAATGGGCAACCCATCCCCCAACATGCTTACAAACCAGAAACAAAGACCACTCACGGCCTGATGAGGGCTCCCAGGAGGACAATGCTGGCCCCGGGAAGCACCTCACCATGTTCTGCTCCTACCCCCAACGCCCCACTGAGGGGTCTCACATTTTCCCACAGCCCTTGGCGCCATTCGCAGCCTGGAGACTTTCTGGTTTAATCTCATTTCTTGCCACTTGTCTGTAAACTCCACTGCTGTTCACCACTTCCCTAGCACCTAGCACACTTCTAGCACATGGAGAGCCCTTAATCAACTCCTTGCTGAATGAATGAGTGAATGAAAAACACCCAGAGATCCCTGCTCCATTAAGCAAACTAAACCTTGAGGCCTAGAAATGTGCCCCAAATGTAAATAATAATGACAATCTTTCAATGCTGGGAATATGGGTACATTTTTTAAAAATTCTGTTTTAAATTTTCCTTTGTTGAACATAAATTATTCTTATATTGACTAAAACAGTGCATTGCAAAAATCAAGTTGTAACTGTGGACATTATATTGCCACTATTGTGAAAACAACACAAGACTATTATTCGAAGAGTGAATGGGATAATATAATACGGACGCAGCGTATCTGTTCCACTCTCCCCACCTCACCTGCCTTTACCGAGAGCGCAATGTTCTGAGACACTGTCCTGGTAAATACTGCCAGACAGGTGTGGGACTCTCTCAGCCTGGCCTTCGAGGCCTCCATCCTCAGGCTCAGAGACCTCTCCTCTTGCCCGTTCTTCTGCCTGGCTGTGTCCTGGCCTCCCTGTTGGGGTTTGGAAGCTCTGTTCCCTCCATTAAGCAAGACTGGTCTCTGCCCACACCTACTAATGGCCAACTCCTCTGGTCTGCCGGCTTCAGCATGGACAGGAGAGTGAACACCACCGGAGGAG